GAAAAGTTAGTATTATTACTTTATTTTATAATATATATAGCCTTATTATAAAGCTAAAATACCTTCCTATTTTATTTAAGTTAGTAAGCTACTACCTAAGCTATACTTACTTTAAAAGCTAGACTTAGGGTAGGTAGTACTAATTAAAAGCTTAGAAAATCTTTTATAAAATAAACTTATAGTATAGTCTTAAAGTTTTTAGGCTAAAAAAAAAAAGATAGGTTAATAATATTTATTAAGATAAGAAAATAAATAAAGATTAAACTATTATAGTAATATAAAGCTATACCTATATACTTTAATATATAGTATTATTCTAAGCTATATAGTTTATAAGGTTTTTAAATTAACTAAATAATAAACTTAATTAAAGTAGGATTAAGAATATTTAGTTTAATAAAGTAACTACTATATTAACTTAACTTAATAGTAATAAAAATATTAACTAATATACTATCTAAGCTAAAGTAGTTAGCTTAACTATAGTAACTTATTATAGGCTTTATAATACTTAATAAAGGCTTACTAATAATTTAAAAGAAATAAAAGACTAGTATTATTATTTAATTATAACTATAGGAGATATTATATAGTTTAAGAATACCTTATTCTATATATATTTATTTTAAAAAGAAAATATAATAAGTTAAGAGGAATATATAAATAAAGATAATATAAGTAAAAAATATAGAAAATAATAAGAAAAGAACTTATTTTAAAAATAACTTAAGGAATATTTATATTATTCTATTAATTATTTATTAGCTAGTAATTACTAGCTAATAACTATAATACCTATATAAATTAAATATATTATATTTATAAAATAAATCTATTACTAGGATATAAATATAATTTATAATAAATAAGAAAATAATATAAAGGTTAAAGAAAATAGTATCTAGAGAAGTACCTTTTAGAAGGAAAGGTAATTATAATACTCTAAGTATATAATTTAAATTAAAGCTAATTTAGTATCTATAAAGGTAAAAAGTCTAAATACTTAAAAAGCTATATATAGTATATTATAAGTACTAAATATATAGTAACTAAGGATTTATAGTAAGTATAAATTATATAGGATAACTAATCTACTATTAGGTAAGAGGGGCTAGAGTTACTTTAAAGAAGAATTAGTTATAAGATTAGTAAGACCTATAGGTAAGTTAAGCCTAAATTAAGACTCTAAGTAGACTTATAAGAATAGGATTAGTTTATATAAGTTTTAACTAGTATTTAAATAGTATTTAAACTCTAATTAAAAGGATAGGTTATCTTCCTTTTAATTATTATAAAATAAGGGGGATATTTCCTAGAAGGAAAAAGGGGATAAGCTTTAGTCTTAATAAGTAATATAACCTACCTTTTACCTTCCTATCTTTCTACCTAATCCTACCCTACTATTATATAATAATAAAGATTTAAGTTCTTAACTAAGATATATAATTATTCTAAATAATAAAGAACCTATTAACTATACTAAAATTACTATTTAAGGTAATATTATTACCTAGAGCTTAATAAAAAGTAAGTATATTATTTAAAGTATATTAATATTAAAGCTATATAATATAATTCTAAATACTAATATAGGCTATACTTTTTTTATTATTTTAAATAAAATTATAGAGTTAATAGGCTTAATAATAGTTCTAATAATAGTTTATATAGATTTATTTTTATTATATAAATACCTAATAAAGCTTAGAATTACTAAAAAAAAGTACCTAATAATTAATATTATAATACTATACTAGTCTTATAAGTATTATAAACTTATTAAGGTTTACTAGATTAATAATAATAATAACCTTATAAATATACTAATAAAAGCTACTTTAAATAAAGTATTATAAAAGCTAGTTAATAACTAATTAATATTATATATTTAAAACTAAGCTAACTATACTATAAAAGTTATAAAAAAGCCTAAAAGCTATATAACTTAACTAAAAGAAAAAACTATTAGTATTATATTAATAAGTACTATAATAAATATAGTTAGCTAAGTATAGTAAATATTTAATAAGATATATTATATATAAAGGTATATAGTAAATAGATTTATATTATATATAATTATATATAATAACTAGTTATATTATATAATATATATATATAGTAATTATATTATATAATAATATATAAAAAAAGTCTTAATACTTATAGCCTTAATATAAAATATTATAAAGATTATTATAATAAATAATTAAACTAATAAAGCTAGACTATTATAAAAATATTATTACTTTTTATAAATAAATAAAGTAACTACCTATAAGTTATTAACTACTAATATATATAATTATTAATTATTCTTTTATTCCTATAATTTCCTAGTAGTACCTAAGGTACTACCTATTTATATATTTAACTATAGCCTTTCCCTTCTATAGTTTATTTTATTAGTTAATTAAGAATTATTATTATATAACTATTCCTATAGAGCACCTCTATAGGCACTCCGTGCCTGTGATCTTATAACTGTTACCTGCTTGGGATAGCGATCCCAACATTTTGCTCGCCGGCAAGCGTGGCCAGAGTCCCAACCATGCCGGACCCGTGGATGCCGGGCCTCCGCCCGGCGCTAACTAGACCGCGGCCTCCGAAGAGGGCCCCCTTGATAAATATTTACTCCGGCTCGGGTCCACCCACATGGCGCTTGGCAACATACTTTGGAAAAGGATTTATCCCATGAATGACTCGACATCTCGATAGCATTTGGCGCATAATTTTTTATGCTCCGATAGCATGGGATGAATGCGAGGGGAAACTTAGAAAGAAAGAAAAAACCCCAGCCCTACCAGCCAATGGCTAAATACGCGTATTTCTTCGGCAACGGGGTGGTGGTCCTTGACGTCGTTTCATGGGTGCTTCACGGCACTTTTTTTACCCACCTATGGCTCATCAATCGCCAGGGATGGCAATTCTACTAAGCCCTACTTAATTAATACGGCGTATGAATACGAGCAGCTGAGGCGATCTGCGCCCGGCCCCGGGTTGCAAGTCGCTAGTTGCCAAACTGTCTTTTTTCGTGCTCCGTTGTAAACAACAAGAGTTGCGCGGTTCGTATATGCAGTCTCGGCACTGGAGAGTAATATTGTTTTTCGAAATGAGCCAAGAGAAGAGGAATTATCGCACATCTGTATATCGCAGACCGCTATACCTGCATTGCGTTGGAAGTAATCAAGGCCCAACATTCCCCCGCGTCTTTGAGATGTGATTTGCCACGATGCAGCAGCGATTCGTGCGACGTCGCATGTAACTCTAAATCGATTCAGAAGAAACAGACAAAAGACAGATGCGTATTCGAATCAAATGTCTCAGTTCCCCAGTACCACCAGTAGCGGGTACAGACGGCTGTGCCCGAGACGGTTTGACATGCGAGCTGGCTTGGAAGCGGGGCCTTTGACGCTAGGTCATATTCTGTTGAAGGGTGGTGGAGTCAAATACGCGATGAGTGGAGTGGATGTGGTGCCCGAAGCACCAAGAACACGAGCCCTAATAGGGTACCTAAATTCCCACATAAATTGCACTATAAAAGAGGTACCCCTGCAGGGCAGAGTTTTCCCTCCTTTCCAGTTAGAACATGCAGAATATCAAGTTGCCTTTCCTCCAACCTCTTCCGGCTGTGATCAACTGCGCACACGTGCAACGCCTCTACAAATCGTAAGCACAGACAACACTATAACGTGACATATTCCCTCCTAATTTACTACGGATAATATCAAGTCATTCATTGTGACTGCCTAGTAATGAAGTCAATTGCCTGATAAAGCTGTCACATTTTTTCCCTCTTTTTTTTCTGACACGTCGGGAATTGACACGTCTTTTTTTTTCCTTGTAAAGCCCGAGATGCACGAGCAGCTTCTCCTGGCCCACGTCCCGATTGACCCTACTTGCACGAGCTGCAGCATCTCTGCGGCAAGGCCCCTTTCCGAGAGTCATGTTTCCTCAGATCCTGCGGCGACAGATGGCGGATCCCCGTTGCGAGCACAAGTCTTGGCCAGGCCTCCTACAGTGGTTAGCGTCACCGCAAACGTCTCTACCGAGTACTCGATGCTGCGTCTCCTCCTGCAGACGCTGGGTTCCCGCGGCGCCTCGCCGTGCACCATCCATATATATAGATATATCCTTGCCTTGGGACCGCTTGTATTGGAGCCTGCGAGGCAAGACTGCCAAGTTGTTTCCTAACGCACCGACATCCCGAGGCCCGTCCAGGTCCTTCATGTTCCACGCTACGCTGGTCGCCGACCAACTCGACCTGCGTCTTGGTCCTTCTCGATATGCCAAATCTATTCAAACTTGTCCATGTGACCTCTCCACCGCGGCTGAATCGCTCTACACAGGTAAGAAACACGGCCGACACAGCGCCGTCTCTAATCTCAGTCTACTCTCAGGCACGTCTCGTGCAGTGCAGTGCATGACAAGAGAGAGAGAGTAACCTTGTCATCAGGAGCCAAGGGCTCCAAGATGCTTCGCCAACAGATGAGTTGGCTCGGCCCCAGAGGGTCTCGGCTCAGCAGACCCTGCGCCGGATAATGCGGCAAGTCGCGCGCTATCTGCAGGTAGCTTGAATGCCTATCCGACGTATTCTGTGTCATGGTTCGTCTTCATCTTTGCATTGTTCACGTAATCGTCAACTTGCACACCTGGTAGCGTGAGGCGGGACTTGCGCGAGTCGTTGCCCAAGTCACAAGACGGCTCGATAATAAGGGAATGCTGACTGGTCTGAAACATGAGGCATGAAAGACGAGTACTCTACCCGAATCTGGAAATAGTACAGAATCTTCGTTATTTCCTCGACGGCGGGGATATCATTTTCTGACAATGGCATAGAATTTTCCATTCTTATTTTTTACCTTGTTGACCTGCATTGTCATCATACAAACGCTGTACAATCTTCTATTTGTTTTACCAGGGCCAGCATTGACATCATTCTCGGAGAGCGGTGTAGAATATTGTATTTGTTTTAACCTTGGCTAGCATGTCTATCACTTCTATGACTGGAATACCTTGCTGATGTGTGCTTCACAAGCAGCGAGGCTCTCGCTGACAAAAGCAATGTACATATCCGGTCTCACCACAACGTAGAAAGCATCGTCTGCCGCTACCCAGTCCCCGGTAAATGTCTTATCCGAGCGTGCATCTACGGTTGCGCCCTCTGCAAGAATAGAGTACTTGGTGACGGGATGCCCTGACTCCTTGGCAGCCTCGGTCTTGCCAATCGATAGCAGCAGATACTTTCCATAGCGCACATCCGAGTACAGCCGTCTCGTCTCCCCTCCCGAAAGAGGCTTGATCACCATGTCAGGGCATCTAAAACCGGCCTTCCAGATGCCATGCTCAGACGGCTGGATCAGGGGCGAGCCGCAGGCTTCGTATGAGACGCCCATGCCGGTGATGTAGCCCGCATTCTTCTCAATCGTACCCACGTACGTCTTGGCCTCACGCACCGTGTCACGCACAAGCGCAGCGGCCACGTCAATCACACCCTGCGCCGTGCTGCGCCTTTCCGTGTCGTAGCTGACCAATAGCGTGCGGGCCGCCTCTTTGCCCAGGCTTGGCTCGTTGATGACCATGGCGAGTCGCCATGCAAGGTTGAAGGCGTCCGCGATGCCCGTGTTCAGCCCTTGGCCACCGTTGACCGAGTGCACGTGCGCCGCATCGCCGCCTAGGAAGATGCGACCAGCGCCGTCCTTGGACTGAAACGTCGAGGCGATTCTTTCCTTGACTATCCAGGGAGAGTGCATTGTGTTAGTCAATGATGTAAGGACCCGGGGCAAGCTTTGTAGGCAAAACACATACCATCAAACGTGCTGTACCACACTGTTTCGGTAAACTCAACCTTGTGGGGAGCCATGTGGTCCTTGATAGACTGCTGTGCCAGCTCACACGACACCTGGCCCTCGAGCAGCACGTAGAAGCGGCACAGGCCGCGCTCCCGCGGGATCCACGAGACGCGAGACTGGCCGTCGAGCTGAAACGTGATAATCTCTGGGCATCTCGGGAAGTCGGTGTCAATGTACGTGTCCAGGACCGCCCACAGCATCTCGGGCTTGGTGCCGGAAAAGGTGGCGCCGATGGCCTTGCGTACCATGGAGCGCGCTCCGTCGGCGCCGAGCGCGTACTTGCTGCGCACCTGGCGACCGGTGCTCGTCACGATGCTGACACCGCTCTCATCCTCGCTGATGGACGCAACCTGCTCGCCGTAGTGGACGTCGCTGCCCAGCTTGTCGGCCAGCATCTTCTCCACGACGGGCTGGCCGAGCATGAGAAAATTCTTGTTCAGCGTGTGCTCGAGGCTCACCCACCACTGGTTCTGCCGCGAGATGAACTCGCCATTGCCAAATGTCGAGCTCGCTGGTCCAAGGGGAGGCCTCATGTTAGCTTTCTTGTGCAGTCTTTGCCTCTCGAGGCTGGCTTGTATGTGTGCGGTAGTACCCACTGTTGCATGTAATGCCTTGGGGAATCAATTCGCCGAGGAGATCGGCAAGCTCTAGGTACTGCTGGGTTCTCGCATTCAGGGCGTCTGCACGGCCGAGCTCGAGACTGGCAGGCTTGGCGTCTGAAGTCTTGTTAGCCAACCCTCCTTTTCAGACTCGGCGTTTTCCCAGTCACGGCAACATACCAATGACACAGACCGAGACTCCCAGCCTCTTCATGAGCAATGCGGTTGCAAGGCCAGTTGGTCCACCTGATTCAAGTTAGATGGGGGTCACTAAACAGAGATTCAAATAGAGCATACCGCCGCAGATGGCAACGTCGACGACTGTAGAAGAGCGTTCCTCGGTGACAGAGGGCATTGTGAAGAGATGTGTATGTAGAATTGTGCGTACTGTTGTTGTAGTGTTGTTGAAGGTTGTTGAAAGTTGTTGAAAGTTGCTGAAGTTGTTGAAAGTTGTTACAAGTTGTTAGAGGTTTGTTAATCAACTTGGTCGAATGGAACGAGCAAGTATAAATGTGAATGGCACAGGAGTTGGCGAGAGTCATGCCAAGTGTCATGAAAACTGTTCTCTCGACACTGTATAAGCCGACTCTCCAGTCCTAAACAGCGTCGCAATAGCAATTTCGAAGGCAGTGTCCACTCCCCGCTGGGTTTTGTCATGCAACTCAAAGCTTGGCTGGCCTCTTGACACTGCCTACGGCCATCCCACCATATTAGTGCCAGGCATCGAGAAACTGGGGCAGCGAGCAAGTCAGTTCACCACATGCACATGCAGGGATTGACCAAAGATCCTTGATCTGCACCCACAATGGCCCCGGAAATTAAACATGGCATGTTATTGGTGGCACCTGGTACGTTTTCGCCCCGTCGCTGGCAGACTCAGAAAAGAAGCTTACACGCAATCGGGCGCATCGAATGCCGTGCATTATTCATGCCCCCTGGCCAGATCAGAGTCCCAAGACATGAGGCATGCCAGCGCAGCCTCGCCGACAGGTCATTGTAAACAGGACCCGCGTGCATGAGGGACTGACCTCGACCGATCCGACCTGGCCTGTCAGGAGACGGAACCAGGAGGCAAGGCAAGCCTTATTTGTTCGCTGTATTCCGTAGCCCGGGAAATTCAGACTAGTAGGGCAAGTAGCTCAGTCTTTGTTTCTCATGTTCAAGGGGGGTCCAGTTTTGCCGGCGAATCTAGAGACCGCGCATCGTTGCGACCAAGTACACTCAAGTCGTAGTCTCTCGTCCAAGGCTTTAGCGCATAGAGACGACGCAGAATCAGGGCAGAAACGTGCTAAAACGATGGCGCCGACGACCAAATCCTTCTAGTCCGTCCTTCTCCCACGTAGATGTCGTCAACCCGACTACGAATTGTCCACTCGACTGATGTCTGAAACGACGAGTGGCTCCCGCGTTGGGCGTGTAACTGGTCGAGGCCATTCCGGAAAAAAATAACTGAGGAGCTATAATCCCATCCTTTCCGATACAAGACTCGAACATCGGCTGTTGATGAGAAATCCAACGCTTTTCTCGCTCGGCAACGCGAGTCGAGTTGCTGGCCAAGAGGCGTAACCGTGTGGATAGTTGGCATACCGTCTGCTCCTTCTTGACATGACCCAGTTCCAATCCCACACCACGCGGAGTGGCATCCACCAAGATTTATCAGTCAGGAAACGTTTGTCCATCTAGTTATACTCAAGGATCAATAGCCAGATGCGTCAGCTCGGGGCTTGGTGCTGCTTCCGCGTGGGGACATACCCGCCAGACTGTCCCCTGCGGCCATCCCGCCTGCCTATTCTGAACAGTGGAATGTCTTCTGAGGCACACAGCTGACTCTGCCGTTGACCAGTCCTGCGTCCTTCACAGAGCCCGTACCGTTGCAGTTTTTCTTCAGGGTCTCTTGACGACACCTCAACGAAGCCATATATATGTCTGCTGGTCCCGAGCTAGCCTGTTGCCGCTTGGATCGTTGTTGAACAAGCAGTCAAGTGTTTCAGTCTTCAAATCTTACCATAAACTTTCTTCCAAATGGCATCACTTATTAGCCCCTCGGACGCAGCTTTCCACGTCCCAAGCTCTCCTCCCCAGACCCCCCCCCAAGATGCCCATGGACGACAACGGAGTGACGCCGCTGGCGGCCAAGTTCTCCGTCTTTTCCTCGGCCTCGCCCATCAGCGCAGAACTTGATGTGGCCTCGCTCGAGATTGCGGCAAAGGTTCTTGGAATCATTGATCGCTATCGCTTGCGCAGAGCCTCTGATGCCACTACCAAGGCCGACGAAGGCGCGCTCAAGTTCCTCGCCCTCATTTACACCCACGTCAAGGCCAGAGAGGTGATTCCCATGTGCCTTCCGGCCTTTCCCTTCAAATCCCCCAACTCAGTCTCCAAAGTTCTTGGAAAACTACCCGACCGTGCCGAGGATCTAGCACTGTCCCACCTGAACGGCCTTTGCTCTTCTATTGAGCGAGTTTATGCTCCTGGTGCGAAGCTCACAATCATCTCAGACGGCCTGGTATATAATGGTATGTATATCCAGAACCTGTACCTGTACCGGAGTCGTAAATACTAACCGTATACTCAGACTTGTTGGGAGTGGCGGACAAAGATGTCTGGGCATACGGAGAGGGCTTGCGCCAACTCGCTCTGAGCCAGGAGTACACCAACATTACGTTTTGTCGGTTGCGTGATCTCGTTTCTCTCGATCTCCCAGATGAGCTTGATGAAATCACCTACGTGTCAAACGCCACCAACTTCCGTCGCGCGTTGCTAAACAGATTCAGTCGCCCTGACTGGAACTGGAAAGAGGTCAGCCAGAGTGAGGACGTTTGCCTGACATATCGAGGGTACATCAAGTTCCTCGAAACCGATTTGGCACACGTTTATCCTGTTGGCGAGTCCCGCTCCAAGACCAAGTTCAAGCGTGGTATCGAGACCATCGCTCGGGAGATGATGGCTCGTGGCGAGGTAAGTAATCTTGGAAGACGAGAATCAACAGCGTACTAACATACCTCAGGCCTTCGCCAATGCGGTTCGCAAACGGTACAGCGATTATGTCCGCCTGTCTATTCACCCCTCCACCGGCGCTACCAAGCTCTCCATCAGCCTTCTGCCGACGACCTCCATGTACACCACGCCCTGGCATTGCAGTGTTGCGTACAAGATTGACGGAACTATCGAGACCGGAATGCGCTCCGAGTTGGAAAAGGACGACAAGCTTGAATTGGTATACGAGGATGGCCGACCAAGCTATTTCAGAGAAAAGTCGCCTCTCTTTTCTTGGGGAGAGGACAAGGGCGGGATTGACTGCAAGCCCATATATCCTTCGGGCTGGTTGATCACGCCCAAGAAAGGGAAAAAGGCGCTCACCATCCGTGATGTCGACGCCAGCAAGGTTCGATCACTTGCCGAGCACAACTCGCCAATCGTCATTCGAGGCTTCGCACAGACCATCGACCGCGAAAGATATGTTGAAAAGGCCCATGAGTTCGGCACACCGCTCCCGTGGAAGTTTGGGTTGATCCTCGAGGTCAAGGACCAGGGCACCAACACGGCTGGCCTGAACAACGTTTTGTCGGCCGAGTGGATGCCCTTCCACTACGACGGACTCTTCAAGACTGTCAAGCAGACCAACGAGCAGGGCGAGGAGGTGCTGGTTTCGACTCCGCCAAAGTTCCAGTTCTTCATCGGCGCAAGCGCTTCGCCGAAAGATACTGGATTCACACTCTTCTCCTCGTCTACCCAGTTCTTCAAGTACCTACCCTCGTGGGTCGATGTCGAGGACCTGAAGAAGAGGACCTGGTCCGTGTCGACGTCGTCCTTTGATCAGACCATCATGAAGGGAATCCCGTTGATTACCTCACATCCCTCGACAGGCAAGCCATGCTTGCGATACCACGAGCCGTGGCCCGAGACCAAGACCAAGTTTGACGCGACCAGCGTGACCATTGAGGGTATGACTGCGGAGGAAAGCGCAAAGCTGTGCGAGGCGATTGACGAGACTCTGCATGACCGCCGCGTTGCCCTATATCACTCGTGGGAGAAGGGCGACATGGTCATCAGCGACAACATCTTGATGATGCACACTCGCAGTGACTTTACGGCTGGCTGCGATCGTGAATTGTGGCGCATCCACTTTGACTAGGAGAAGGGAATGCCTGCGGATATTCAGGGGCGGAGATTTGCAGTGTGTAGAAACCAATATGCATGTTATATAGAAAGCCATTGATTGAATATTGAATTGTGTATCCGCAGAGTTCACAATAATCACACGTTGTGTTTGTCAAGCAAGTGGGGGTAACGGGGCACTTGCTTGCACCAGCTGCCAAGCTGCCAAGCTCATCTAATGAACCTAGCTTCTCCATCTTCGACACCAAACGGGCAAGTCATGATGATTTCCATTACCAATTACATCCAAATGAGGCGCTGAATTCTACCACCTCCCATTATTCTTATCGTACATGGACCCGAACCATGTCCACGTTTGGGGGCATCGTGTCCGAATTCCCAGAAATTCGAAGTGAGCCCGTTCAAAGGTCCCTGATTGCTCCCCAGCGCGCCCGTTGACACTGCTTGTCAAGTTGATTTTTTTCGCCGCGTCGAGGGGTATTTGCCCCCTCTGGCATGCTTCCTCAGTCACGTCCATAGCGATCATCTCGCTGGCCTAGACACGCTGCGCTCACCATTGTAAGGAGCCGTTCTAGCGAACTTCGCCGTGAAGCTAATGGTGTCTAGCGTCTACTGTTCTGCCGCGACGCGCGAGATATTGCTGCGGCTGGAGCGATACCCATGTCGCCTCAACTATGCCAAAGGGCTGTTGGAAGCGAGGCAGCAAACATACAAGCACTTGAGCAGCCTGCTGGTGGGTTGTCTGCGCCCAGGTCAAAACACATCTAATCATCGTGGCAGAAGCCGATACCGTTGGAAACGCCTACGACGCTGGAGTTGGCACCTAATCTTGAATTGCAAGTGACCCTGTTCGATGCGAATCACTGCCCTGGGGCAGTCATGTTCTGTGAGTAGATGCCAACCTACAAAGTATGCTATTTTGCTTCGAGAATCTGACCCGTCTCTACATGGTAGTGATTGAGCGCAATGACACGGCAATCCTGTATACCGGCGACATACGAAGTGAGCCTTGGTTTGTTAATTCGATTTCCAGGCATCCAGTTTTGATTGAGTATACTTCGGGCATCCGTACACTGGACAAAATCTACCTCGACACGTCCTTTACAAAAGATGTCCCGTTTCAGACCAAGAGCCAGGGCATCTCCGAGTTGCTGCGAAAAGTAGCATTGTATCCGGCGGATACGGTATTCTATTTCCAAGCCTGGACCTATGGCTACGAGGAAGTTTGGCTCGCCCTCTCCAAGGCCTTGAAATCGCCAGTTGTTTTCACACTTTGCCCCCACTTTGTTACCACCAAAGCTAATTAGTGTACAGATCCACGTGGACGAGTATAAAATGAGAATATATGCGTCCCTTTCAAGCAAAATTGGTGATCACCGCTTCGCGTCACTGGCCGGTTACATGTGCGGAAACGCACGGCACCCGGGCTGCCTGACAGTGCACGAGAGTGTGCGCCTGCACAGCTGCGAAAAGGGCAATCTGTGCTCCGTCGCGGACCAACCAAACGTTGTCAAGATACAACCGATTGTGGCGCATCTGGTGGATGGAACTGATATTGCTGAGGTTGGCATAGGTGGAGGAGGAAATGATTTTCAGCGGGATGCTGAGCTGGGGGCCTTGTCACCCAAAGATATCCAGACGCTCCAGGAACTGTATGACTCTATACTCCCCCATCACATCATGCAAGTATGCACTCGCTAATTCAGTTTTCTTAGGATGAAGAAAACTGGTCAAGTCGACGATAGTTTCTTCAAGTCTCTGCTTCAGAGCATGACACCAGGACGCGATATGCCACTAGGATTAACCATGGACCTGTTCGGAGACCAGCTCACTACGAGCATAAACAAGCTGAATAGTATGCTGGCACACAAGCGCAGCTCCAGCTCTGGGGTCACAACCCCGACAGCCACGAGACTGCCGCGCGTGATTCACTTCCCATATGCCCGCCACTCCTCGTACGAGGAGCTTTGCCACCTTGTCGACGCATTCAAGCCACGCGATGTGTGGCCATGCACAGAAAACGCCGAGCACTGGTGGCGCAAAGGTAGGACCCAACAAGAAACCCGTCATGTGACGCTCAAATGTTGATTACGGCAGGCTATTCCATTGCCTCGTATTTTGGGGACTTTTGTTCCGGGGCCGATTTCACCTACGACAAGATGGTGCAGGCGACGTATCCAGACCCCCCACCGCAGGACAAAGAAGATAGGCCCGATACGCAGACGTCTGTGCAGGTCTCCGAAGACGCTGAAGAGCCACCCTCGTTGTCGCCTGCACACAGATTACTCACCGAGAGCAGCGGCCCGAAGGACCGCGGCGACGAGCTGCCAGGTCCGCCTTCAAAAAGGGCGCGGGGCGAGGCCGACGATCAGGACGAGTCACAACGGAGTTTGGCTTCACACATCACGGACACGGACTCTGCGATCCGCTGGGGGGTATATAATCGCACTGTCGACAGGCTCTACGAGGGCGACTGGGGCTCCTTGCCTTTGCTTTCGACCACCGACCATCATAGCAACACAGAACAAGAACTGTAGGTGGTTCTCGGATTCCCTTGCAGGACGCAAAACAACTGCTCTAGTTGGCGTGAATATATATATACATCTAGAAGTACCTTGTATATTCCCCCTAGTATCACATCTACAACTTTATGCCAAACCCCAGCCCAAACGAGTCGTCGCCGCCCAGGAAAAGCCCGCCCACCGTCACCTTTTCCTTTTCCTTGAGCAGCTTGGCCATGTCCACACGGCCACCCGCAATGTAGCGCTCACTCACGCCCAGGTTGACGCGGCGGGCCAGGTCTTCGCGCAGCTGCGCGCGCAGCGCGCCCATCTCGGCCTTGCTCATGCCCGCGGCCAATTTGTCCTTGCGCTTGCGGCCACCGCCGCGGCCGCCGCGAAAGCCGGCGGTCGCCGTCGTCTCAAACTCTTCCGAGTCGTACTCGACGCCGAGCTCGTCGGCCGCGCCGCGCAGCCACGTGTCCTCGCTGTGCGCCTTTTCCTTGGCCAGCACCGCGTCCGCGAGCTTCTTGGCCATGTCGGCGCGCGGCTTGAGGCGCGCGGCGACTTTTTTATCCAGCGGTAGCGTCTCGATCATGTGCTCCCGCTTGCTGCTGCTCCCACCACCGTAGCGAGCGTCGCGCCGGGCGTGCACTTTGCTCGCGAGGCGTCGCGTGGGCAGCACCTCGTCGGGGGCGCAGAGCATGACGCTGACGCCGACGCGCGTGCCGCGCGCGGTACGCCCGGAGCGGTGCACGTAGGCGTCGGCGGTGCGCGGCACGTGGTAGTGCACGACGAGGTCGACCTCGTTGATGTCGAGGCCGCGGGCGGCGACGTCGGTGGCGACGAGGACGGAGTTGCGGGTGGCGGTGAAGCGCTCGAGGGAGCGCAGGCGCGCCTTTTGCGCCATTTGCGAGTGCAGCGGCTGCGCGGTGATGTTGAGGTTTTGCAGAAACGGCGCGACGCGGCGGACGGCGGCAATGGAGTTTGCAAAGACGAGTGTTCGTCGGCCAGGATTCAGGAGCAGCACAGAGTAGAGGTATAGATCCTGCAGAAGTGTTAGTATAGATGATGATGCGATTGGTGCACAATTTTGGCTTGGGCTCACCTTTTCCATCGCACCGCACTCAATAAGACCCTCCCGTAGGCCCTCGGCCATCTGACTAACAGGATTGACGTCGATAAACGTGGGCTGCCCGCGGAATTTCAAGCACCTCATCAGATCCGCCATCTTTTCCTCGTCTGTCCCCTGCGCACTCGGCCGTTTCTTGCCTGCCAGCTTCATCTGCAAGTCCTTGTCAAACGTGGCTGAAAAGACGAGCGTCTGCCTCGACCAGCTCCCCTCGTCTCCCTCGTCCACCTCCTCCTCGTCCTCCTCATCATCACTCTCCGACCCCCCCGCTCGTCGGTCCAGCGCGCCGATAATCAGCTCCGCCTCCTTGAACTGGCCGACCTTGAAGAGCCGGTCCGCCTCGTCGACGACGAGGAAGCGCAGACGGCTGCGGAACGCGGCCTGCAGCGCGGCGTCGCCGTCGAGCACCTCCCACAGACGTCCCGGCGTGCCCACCACCACGTCGGCCGTGCGCAGCTGGCGCTGCTGCTTGTGCACGCTCAGCCCACCCGTCACCACGCAGACGCGCGGCGACGCCGCCGGCAAGCCCGCGCACAGCGCCCGGAGGTGGTCTCCAATCTGCTTAGCCAGCTCGCGCGTCGGGCTCAGGATGACGGCGGTGGGACCTTTGCGGCTGCTGGCCCCGTCCTGCTCTGCTTCTTCTTCGTCGCCGTCTTCGTCGTCGGTGCCGTCCTTGTCGGCGTGCAGCTCCAGCCAGCGCTCGACAATCGGGATGCCAAAGGCCAGCGTCTTTCCGGAACCGGTCTGCGCCTTGCCAATGACGTCGGCGCCAGCGTTGATGGGCGGGATCGACTCCGCCTGGATCGCGGTCGGGCTGGTGAAGCCGAGCTTGCCAATGGCCGAGACAATGGCCGGCGAGAGGTTCAGAGCGACCCAGTCCTCGAGATTCGCCTCGTTCTCGTCGTCCTGAGCGTCCATCAGCACGTCAAAGGGATTGACCTGTGCACCACCCTTTTGCTTCTTGATTGTGTCTGCTGCTGCTGCCTCTAGCTTGCGATCATGCGCATTCGGCGGCACCGTCTTTTTGGTCTTCTTTTCCTTCTTTTTCTTCCCCTCCTGTGTTTTTAATGTCGTTTTTGTGGTATTTGCCTCGCTTGTCTCGGTATTGGGTTCGTTCTCATCGTCGTCGTCGCCAAAGCCTTCGAAAACATCACCGTCGTCGGCGCCGCCGTCCTCTTGGTCCTTGGTCACCGCAGCCTTGCCCGCCAAGGGTGGGTTCGCTACCATAAAGGACACGCGGTCGCCGTCCCTGATGACCTCGACGCCTTCAATGACTTCCAGACCGCCAAACTCCTCGCCAAGAGTCTGCCATGCGAGTGAGCCGGTGTCTTCGACACAGTGCCTGGGAGGCCTGATAATCTTGCCGCGCTTCGCAGCAGGCCCGGCGGCCGACTGTTGCTTGCGCTTTTTGTTCAGCGGAGCCATGCCTTTGTATGTTGAAATTAAAGCACCAGACCAGCTGCAATATGTGTATCGTGCCGCGCGCGGTTGTTGTGCGCCCAAGTCCTTTCTGTTGGCTTTTTTGGTCGTCTGGACACAGGCAAAAAGTTCGTTGAAGGCGGGCCACATTTTTTTTTTACAGAGCTGTCGGCGCCACTGACGCCGATCCACCGATATTTATACGAATCACGACAAGAGCCAAACTAACTAACGCGGAAAAATTGACGTCAGCTCAATTCAGCGACTCAAGTATCTGATCTGCTACGTATTATCAAACGATGTCATCGCAATCACCAAGTGTGAAGATGGAGTACCAACAAAGAAAATTAAAGTGTAAATTTCACATCTGAATTGTACAAATATGCCGCGCCTTTCAGGTTTCAAAGCAACCAAGCAATTTTCCCCAGGCAAGAATACATCAACAAAATACAAATTTCCAGCTACATCCGTTATTCCCCTTATCTAATTCCTCCCAAATCCGGTTACACCTAGCGAGAGGCGAGCTCTCTTCTAATGGGGGCCGCCGCCTCTGGCTCTCTTGGCACCAGCGCCGGCTTCGGAATCCCCTCTTGGTCGCTTCATCCCAGGCTGGAAGTCTGAGACGCCGGGATTCAGATGACCTCGCCCACCGCGAGCACCACCGCGCCCGCGACCTCCCGCTGCGCCACCCTCTTGGTTACCGCTAGCATTACGCTGGCCGGGATGCACATATGGTCCTCCGCGTCCACGACCACCGCCACGCGCCATGGGGATACCAGACCGTTGAGGTCCCTGGTTCGGCAGTGGCTGTGGAAGGCCGCTAGGAGCGGTGGCGTAGGCTGTGGCAGCTGGTGCGGCCGTTGTGGCTGCTGCGGGAGGAGCTGCAGGGGGCGCCGCAGGAGCTGCCTTGTCACTCTCCGTCTTAACAGCGAATGGGTTAGCTGCTGGTGGTGCTGCTGCATTGCTGGTGGTGGATGCTGCAAACGGGTTGGCGGCAGGTGCTGGTGCATTTCCCGTGGGAGTCGATGGCGTCGCCTCCGGCTTCGCCGCCGCCGGAGGTTTCGCGGGGGTGCCCTTTGGCGTTGCAACATTCGCCGCCGGTGGCGGGGGAGGTAGTGTAGTCTTAGCAATTTCCCAAACTTGGATGACCGGCTTCTGAGGAGTTTCTTTTGCAGCTGCCTCGACCACCCCGAGCTTGGCATTTGCACTGCGAAGCTTATTTTCAGCCATGTTGATGCGCAAGGTCGATTTTTTCGACTCCATGAGCTGAGCTTGCTCACGTGCAGCGGCGATCTTCCCTTCAACCTCGTTCTTCATCTTGCTCTCAAATTCCGATTTGAGCTTGACGTTCTCGTTGTCAACGCGCTTTCGGATGTTCATCGCAATGATGTTCTTAGCCGTAGCATTGGTGGACAGGAACTGGCGGATGCCTGCATCGTCGAGTTGTGAAAGATCCGAAGAGTTGCCATTCGCGCTTGGAGTGGCAGGTACAGAGGAAACCACGGCCTTGGCGGGGGTCGCAGGTGGTTCCGCAGTAGTGCTGGAGTCGCCGGCTGGCTTGCTATTCTCGGCCTGCCAAATGAGTTTCTCCTGCTCAAAGCGAAGGCGAAGGTCTTCGTCCTTTTTCTTATACTCTGCCTCCATCTGAGCGCGAGAATCCTTCAGCTTGGTGTTGAGGGTGTTCTTCATCCTATCGCTGCGTTCGCGGATAGTCTGCTGTATTGTTGCCTCAACCTCATTGGCCTTGGCTTCAAATTCCGAAGCCTTGGTCTCCGCAGCCGTGATCTTGGCCTGCAAAGTCTTTCTCTCCTCGTCTGATAAGCCCCTCGCGGCAGCCGCTGGATCCACAGAGCCTCCAGTGGCTTCCTCGGCCTCTTCTGGCTTCTTGCGGGCGTCTCTTTCCGTAATAGCAGCCTGAAGCTCAGAACGTAGCTCGCTCAATTGTTGCTCAGCACTGAGCTTCTGAGCGTTGACAGACTCTAACTCCTTTCGAACGTCAGCGAGGCTTTGCTCAAGCTTTGCAACCACTTCTGCGGAAGCTGCAGCATCGCCACCGAGCTCAACTGAGGCAGTTCCTCCCTGACTGCCATCAGCTTGTGACCTTTGGCGCAATTGCTCCAGTTGTTGTTGTGAGTCCTCGAGTTGCTTCTCGAGCGCGGTCCGCTGTGATTTGCTCTCCTCCGCCTGATTCTTAGCAGCTTCCAGATCCGCAGTGGCAGAGCTAAGTTCCTCCTGAAGACTTATCGCTCGCTGAACAGCTTCATTCTTCTCGCCGGTAATTCTCTTAGATCTATCTTTGAACTGCTCGGCGATCTTAGAGCGCGTAGTTTGCCAATTACTTCGTTCGGCTTCAAGAGCAGCCTCCAAGTCGACGACCTTGGCCTCCAGGGGCTGTGTGCCTTCCTTCAGAGTATTGCACTCGGTCTGCAGATCGGATATTGTGCTCTTCAGCTGTTCCATTTCTGCCGGGTCGACGCGGCCATACTTGGTCAAGATGCCCTCAGTGCGCTTCTGCCATCTATCGCGGTCTTCGTGGATCTGCTTGATCTCGTCCTCGAGGAAAGACTTCTGAGTGTTGAGATTGTCGATTTCAGCTTCAAGAGGTTGGACCTTTGTTTCCATCATTTGAATCTTGGCGTTGCGTTCAGAAATCTGATCCTTGAGGTGACTATTCTCGCTTCGAAGGGCCATGCTGCTCTCGCGGTAGAGGTTCAACTCATTGAGTTTCTCCATTAGGCTTTGGTGGGTCATGGAGGTCCGGTCGCTCTGAGTAGCCTGCGAACGCTCTTGATCGAGCCTCAAGCGCGTTTCATCGAGTTGGCTCTGCGTGTACTCAACCTGCTGGTGCAGACGCTTTGATTCCTGCGTCTTCAAATCGTATTGTACCTCGAGAATCTCCTTTTCACGACGAAGGTAGCTGTTCAATTCTCTGAGGCCCTCCATAGCATCCGTTGTGCTGGATACACCAGCGTCGTCATCAATTCCACTTCCTCCACGACTCTGCTGCAAAGCGTTAACCTGTGTAGTCAGACCCTCCAGTTGCTGATGCAGGAGTTTGTTCTGCGCATTGACATCTTCGCGTCTGGTCTTGAGCTCAGCCATCTCCTGCTCGAGTTGGAGTCGTCTATCCTCCCAAGACGACTCACTCTGCGCGAGGGTAACCTTTGCTGAATCGGCTTCAGCGCGCAATGTTGCTGACTCGCTCTTGAGCTCGTGGTAATCGCTACGCAGCTGCTGGACAAGCTTGGCAGCATCGGCATGTTTGACCAGTTCTTGCTCATAGTCCTGCTGGGCGCGCGTCGCAATGTCAGCTTGGGCACGAAGATCCTGTTGATGAAAGCGCGCGGCTTCGAGGTGTCTAGCGCTATCCTCCTTGAGGCGAGAAATCTCTTCTTCAAGAATTGCCTTCTCATCCTCAAACTTCCGGGCTACTTCGCCCTGTGAGTCGCGCAAGGACGAGAGCTCGGTATTCGATCGCGACAGCTCACTAGACATGTCGTCAACGCGTTGTCCGAGCTCTTTGATTCTGGTTTCCTTCTCCCCGATCAGTAGCTCCATCTCCAGTCTGTACTGATCTTGGGAGGCCCTCAAATCTTCCAGAGCATCTTCATTGCTCTGGCTCAATTCCCGATACTGTTCAGCCAGAACTTTAGCATTCTCAAGCTGAGTATTAGCCAGGGCCAGATCACGACGCAGTTCCGCAATATCGTTTGTGAGCGTTTGAACCTGCGTTTCGAGCTCTTGTTGATATTCTGACGATTCAGGAACACCAGGTCGGGGAGTTGGGCGAGGCGCTAGGCGGCCGCCACGCTCCTCCGCGTTACGGAGTTCCACTGTGAGCTCGTTCACACGAGCCTGCAGGTGGTCCTTCGTAGTCTTCACACTAATATGCTCTTCGCGAATCTGGCTGAGACTGGTCATGAGCTCATCGATGCGCTTTTGAGCCTCACGGGATTCGTATTCTTTGCGCTGCTGGAGACTTTTACTCTCTTCCGCAGCCTGGGAAAGCTTGCGCTGAACATCGCTGAGCTCTTGCTCCTGCCGCTCAATCTTGGCCTGCGCTTTTCTACGCGACTCTGATTCTGAGATGTTGCGTTCGTTCTCAAGGGACTGCTGAGTTGCGAGCAAATTTCCAAGGCGATTCTTCTCCTCGATCAGGATCTCATTGTCTTTGCTCATGCGATCTTGGATATCCTTCCAGAGCTTCTTCTCGGCCTTCAAGTTGGCAGTTTCGTTGCGGACGCTATCAAGAAGGCCCTTAGCATCGATTAGCTCCTCCGCAACCTGCTGTGTCCGGATATCCTGCTTGGCTGCTGTTTCGGAAAGAATTCGGCTACGCTTTTGTAGTTCTTGGTTTTCGGTCTGGAGGGCCGCATAGTTGCCCTGGAGCATCTCGCGACGCTCAGACTCTAGGCGAGCCTCACCTTGCAATTTGATCCGCTCAGACTGTAGGCCGTTGCGTTCAGCGGAGAGAGCCTCAATTTGGTTGCGAAGGTCCTTGCGTACACTGTCATGGGCCTCGCGGAAGCTATCATACTCGGCTTGGAGCTTTCGCAGGGCCTCGCTGAGTGTCTCAGTCTGCTCCCCAGACTCAATACTAGCGAGTGGCAGGCGGCCATCCAAGGAGCTGCGCATCACCGAGGCATCATCTGCGCCGGAGGATCTCTGTTGAAGCAAGCGACGGAACATGTCTCGCTCAGCCTTGTAGCTCTCCAGAGTCGTCTTTATCGACTTGGATTCCTCTGTCATATGAGTGAGCTCGTGTTCCAGCTTCTCAACCTTGTCATGGTCATCCTTTGCTTGGTGCTTCGCAGCCAGTGCCTCCTCACTCTCGATCTGCTCAGCCAATTCGCGAGTGATGCGAAGCAAATCTTCGTTCTTGGCTTGTAGAGATTGGATGTCCTTGAAAACAACCAGCTTCTGTGTGATGAATTGGTGGGTATCAGACAAGTCGGTCAAAGCTTCCTGGGTTACTTCGCCCTTCTCCAGCTGCTTCAGCCTGAAAACCTCATCATCATTGAGCTGATCCACACCATTCTCAAGAGCATAGATATTGAAAACCAACATTTGGATCTGCGTGCCGAGGTCACGAAGCTGTGTACGGAGGATCTTGTTTTCTGACAGAGTAGTATTCAACGAACTATCTGCCTTTCTCGCAGCCTTTCTGGCCGCATCGCGCTCTTCAAAGCTCTGCTGCGAGAGCTCGGACATGCGAGCGATCTCAGAGCGCAGCATGTCAGACTCAGATTGCAGCTCCTGAATTTCGGGAGCCTTGGCCTCAAGAGCTGCGAGCATGCCATCAAGCTCCTCAGTCAGTTGGTGAGTCCGGCGGCGTTCACCAGCAAGTTGGCCCTTGACATGAAACAGCTGTTCAATAGCTTGCGTGGCGGTGATGGTGCCCTTGTTGCGAATTGATCCTGGTGTTGCAAACGGCGATGCTGCGCGAGCGAACGCACCGCCATTGGCGCGGGGTGTCTGAGGAGCAGATCCAGGAGGAGGTGCATGCTCCAGACGGACTTGGGTTTCGTCAAGCTCGCCTTCAAGTTGGCGAATACGGTCTTCCAAATCAGCGCCAGCCTGCTTTTCTTGCTCAAGTTCGGTGCGTACGCGGCGCAATTCGTTCTCGTAATTGTCTTTGAGGCGTTCCTTCTCGGCATCGAGTTCACGTACACGATTCTGATGCTTTTGGCTGAGTTGTTCAGACATGTCGACTAGGCGGCGTTGATCCTCCAGCTCGGACTTGTAGCTGCCGACCGTCGCTGCAAAGGATTCTTCCTGCTTCTGAATCCTGACCAACGTATCATCAAGCTTGGTTTGCAAGTTGGTGAGGCGGTCTCGAAGCTGCTTTTCAGTGCGCTTGAGAGAATCAACCTGAGACAGTGCATCGTCGCCCTGGCGTTGGAGCTCGGCGATGCGAGCGCCCTTTTCCTTGCGGTACTTGAGGGCTTCCTCGCTCTTGGTCTTGAGTTCATTCTCTAGCCATTCGCTAGTGCTCCGAGCATGCTTAATCTGCTGTTGGAGCGATTCTTCGCGGTACTTGGCACTGCTGAGCTGGCCTTTTGCATTTTGCTCCGATTGCTGCAATGAGGTGATTTCCCGCGAGAGTTCGACGTTCCGCTGATGTTGGTTCGTGAGCTCTTCCGTCAATGTCGTATCTCGCTTGTTGTTGGCCTCGATAATAGCGAGGTTGGCACGATTGGATGACTGGAGCGTTTCAATCTTGTCGTTGAGTGCCTTGATGTCCGCGTCGTGATCAGAATTTTTGGATTTCAAGACTTGGAGCTCGTTCTCGGCGGCTTGTCGCTTCGTCTCTGAGAAAAAAAATTGGTAAGCCGATGATGCATAGTAAAGAAGATGCTTCCATATTCAAGCTTACCCTCTTCTTGGACCTTCTGTCTGGCTTGTTGCACATCCTTCAAAGCCTGTTCCGCGGTAGATTTCGACGCTTGTGATCTCGATTCGGCGCTTCGAACCGCGTTTTCGAGCTCGATGTCGGTCTGCAGCTTGTCGGCGTAGAGATTATCATATTCCTGTGCCTTCTTCGTCACCGCCTGCAGTAGAATCGCGATGAGATCCACGGTCGGCTCAGTCGTCAAAGTTGTGAGGACAGGTTGATCGATGCCGAGATGACCGGCGAGATAGCCGACATCAACAGCGGCGGCCGCCATGTCGTCGTCCCTTGATGGTGAACTAGGCGGAGCTGTTCATCACCGGGCAGGTATGCAGTGTTTGCTAGCTACAAACAAGGTGGAGGAGGCTCGCACAGTCGGTTGAAAAAGTCAACAGTGCAATAAAAACGAGTGTATGCGACTGCGATGAAGGGGTGCTCGAGCGTTACAAAGCAAATGCGGCGCAACAGTTTGGTGAGCAAGTGAAAAGGACGGATTTATAGCAGAAGTCGAGCCTGGCCGCGCCTTGGGGAGCTTGTTACAATAACTATGAGATGGTGCTCCACCAAGAAACACAACACCACAAACAATTGGGGGCACAGGAACAGCAGCGCACGGACCAGCTTCATGGTGTGGCCGAGGATTAGCCGATGCGGCCGCCGTGAATGGTGCTGCTAACACGCATTTGCTCACAAGCACAACAAGGCGTTTACTGAATTGACGAAGTAATACATGTGTAATCCAATAACGGTGAAAATCGCGAAATATTGTTTTGATGGTCACAGAATACGGTAGGAACGAGATAGTGGAGCATAAGGAATCATGTGACTCCGCTCTTGATTAGGAATATAGATGTTGGCGCAAGATGTTCTGGCCTTTCCGGTGCCTTTTCTGCGTACAGGGGGGTATAAAACAAATCCGATAACTGCTTGAGCACTTCAAGCTTCTTGAAACAATAATGACGCTTCGCTATGCTACCAATTCAGTGAGCGCCTCGCATAAATATCAGCAGCCAACCGAGTGCCGGCAAAAATGAAACAAAGAAATGCATCCAAGACGACAAAAGGAAATGCAATAATGACGATGATATGATGATGATGATATCGTTAGATCGTGAAAGAACGGCGACTCATGTAGAGCCGCGTAGTTGTGCGGGCGACTTCTCATAGAAGGCACCAAAGGTCTTCTTGACAGCCGAGACGCAGCTTTGTGAGATGACGCGGGGGATCGTGGCCGAAAGAGAGTCGTTGCGCTTGCGAGTCTGGCTTGTAGCAGTCATGAAGCTTTTGTCGCAAGGTGAGCTGCTGAGTGAAGAGAATGCGGTGTAATCGCGGTCGAAGGAGAATGGGCTGGCGGTGACAGAGCCGCGTGAGGCGAGACTGGAGTGAGAGGTTTCTTGAGAGCCACGGCGAAAAGAGTGGTCGAGGGGCACATGCCACCAGATATCGGTAGCGTCGATCGAAGTTTGCTCAATCGTGATGGGTACTGCGCCATCTAGAGGTTGCCTTTGTTGGGCGGCAGCCTTGAGAGTCTGCCAGAGCAGATGGCCGACTTCGTCCCATACTACAACAGCCTTGAAGAGACGGCGGCAGTTGCGAGTGCCTTCTTTTTCGTCGAGCTCGCCATAAGAGTCAAGTTCCTCCATGGAGGGGACGGAGTCCCAAACGATGGTGATTTGGTCGAGCTGGTCGGTCCAAGGAGAGCTGTGGAGGAAGGTGGAGAGGTAGTTGCAGGCGCGGGCTCTGGATTCCATCTCCAGCTCGCGGGCGGCTCTATCGCGCTCTTCTTGCTGCAAAATATGGCTATTTATTCGGCGGCGTCTCCATTTCTTGTGTGGTAGTTCGAAAAAGCCGGGGCATTGCCGCGGCGATAGAGGTTGGGCCAACATGGCCATGACGGCAGTGAGCTGGCGTAGAGAGGTAGGTATGTCGGTGTACCAGTATCGTCTTTGTGTTGTTTGTACCAGTAAACGTCGGTATGCGGTGGTTGAAGTTGGAGGTTGAGAGTCAACCGGCGTATCAAGGATGGTAACTAGGTAGTTTGGGATGCGGGCTGGAGACGGGGCGAGGACACGGGCGGCGTTGGGATCTTATATGTAGCAGCAATAATAAGGCGGACAACAAGATCTGAGTCTGGGTTGGTGGCGTCGGACCCGTATCCGACACCCCTGCCCTTTGACCAGAGTTGTTAGGTGAGTCGAACTAGTAGAGACGGTGAGATGGGCTGGGGGGTGTGATGAGGCGTGTGGATGAATGAGCTGGAGTGGGTGTGGGAGTAAGCTACTCCGTAGTGATTGACCGAGAGGAACCCGGGCTTATTTGCCAGTTTGTGTCTGGTTGTCTGGTTGTCGAGTTACCGAGCCGCCGTCAGACTCACAGCTGAGGCGTAATATTCTCGCGAGTACTGTCAGCGCTCAGAGGTCTCTTGAAGCGAGTATTACGGAACATCGCCGCGATTGCATTATCCCGAACATGTGTCTTTCTGCCGAAGCTCGCTCGAAGAGCTTCCTCTGGTAACTGACTACCCACACATATGTCTATTCTCTGCCCCGAGGTAGTGTCCCATACTTTTGAGTAGTGCAACGCATCAGCTCTCTCGCCTCGCGGAGGGCGGCCGACGACGGAACACTGGGGCAGGACCCAGGTGTCACGCTGGACACTTGCTGGATCTAGGCAACGACGACGAAAGGGTAGGGTGGTAGGAGGAAACCGGAGCAAAGAACGGGCGATGAGGCAAAAGAAAAAAATACACCGCCAACAGGCACGGGAGATAGACGGCAAGACGGGAGGACGGCGCCCAATCGGTGCCCGTTGAGGATTTTGACATAGGAGCGTGACCTGGGCATGTTGGCAGAGGAGGCGGAGCGGGATAATAATTGGCGCTGGTGTTCAGAGTGGCTGGTGGATGACCAAGTTGATGACCTGGCAATGATAAGCTGGCAGTGGGGGATCACCGGGGGGGGTTACAGCGGGGTTTATGCCTGAGCCTGTGGCAAATGTACCTCATACAGCGGTCTGCAGACACGCGTAAACGCTGTATTAGCTGGCTGTTCTGGGCATCCACTGTACGCCGCGGCAGCCTGCTGAACGCCGTACGTGCGACCCCCGTAAAACGTGGTATACCGCCTGTATTCCAGGCAGGCTGAGTGTCCTGCAAGTCGGTGTCAGCAGACGAGTTCCTGTGCTCCACCGCCAGACAGCAGCTATCATGAAACCGCAGCGCTATTTGTCAACCAGGCAGGCAGGCAGGCAGGCAGGCAATCAGATTCACATTTCAGTCAAATACTATTTGCGATGCCGAATCGTCATGGCATGGTCATCAGCTGTTCGATGCAGACGAGCAAACATCTACTCCGGACATTGCACCGTATATGTACTTGCTGTCTGCACCGACAAGGGCACGAGTGTCAGGTACCTCTCCATTATTAATAAGTATTCTGCACGGATACTCCCCCATCTTTCCCCAGACTCCGACATAATTTTAATCGACAAACACCCATCATCACGCTCCCCCACGCCAGCCTACATCATAAGCTTGCCACCGCTCTTCGTTTAGCCCATCCGTCGGCGCATGTAACAAAAGCTGGCCGAGAAGGCTCAGCGGCCTTGCAGTCCCTTGCGGAATGGACGGTTACATCCAATCATCAGTCGCCTCCGGAAGCCTCCATCACACCACAGCCCCCTGTCGCCAGCTACCTCCGACTCTCGTCGGGTCCTATTTTGCGCCTGAAGACATATATTTCTTCGTGTGACTGATTCACCTTGCTGGCCTTGGCGGGAAAGTCTTGCCGGGTCGGCTAGCTGCCTAATGTGATAGTCCTCGGCACGACCACTGACGGACGCCACGGAGGTAACAGGGCAGCAGCAGCAACAACCTGGCTCGTGATTACGATCGCCTTCTGACATCGCCGGCGATATGCCCTACCGACGCCAACGCAAATCAACGGGTGGTCTTTGCGCTGACGCCATGCCGGCCGCCCTGTGCGCTGCATCACCCGCATTCTGACCACGATACGGATATACTTTGCCTGTATCCGTAATCCAGCGACACCCGCGCCTAATAAAAGCACTCAAAAGATGACTCGAGTTTCATGATGAACAGTTTGCCAAATTTCGTTTACTCTCCAAGGACTAGTGCGTATCTTGACACACACCATCACCACACGACCAGCACCTATGTATTCTTCCGTGCGAGGGAAAAATCCCGCGACAACACATCCATCACATTACACACCCACACCGCATGTCTCTCGATTGGACACCGACAAATGTGCAACTTGCACTGCGTTGGTACACGTAACAACAAGTCGACCCAGCGCCTCAGCGATGCCCAACACATGGCACTGCCACGGCTATCATCACAATCACAATCACACTTGATTCGCTCTTATTTCCTTTATGCGGCGTCTCACAAATATCCATCATCCCGCCAATGGCAGTATAGGACTAGCCGATGACTGCGCTTTGCCTCTTGCTGCAACCTGGCGAACCAACATTCGCCAGCGTCATCTTTCAATCACGGCCGCCAAACGCTTCGCTTGGGCGTACATAAAACACCGTCCAACGTTGCAAACAAGTCAAAGCCGGCTGCAAACAGAAAAACGTTGTAGACAGACAGGGGTTGGCCCCGTCATGTGGAATGGCCTGTCTGCCCAACAATGGTGATGGCCTAGTGAAGAGTTGAAAGCAGCACAAATGTGCTCTATTTTTACTTTGCTAAGCTTTCATGTTGCTTGTTCCAGGCCCGTCAGGTGCTCTCGGATGGCAACTCCTTGATCAGTAACTCATATGGACACAAACTACTAACTACGCCCGCAGTAATATGATGTATCGATGCGTTGTCCGCCCCATGTCGTATTCGTCGCAAGCGATAGCCGGCCAATTTGTACCGAAAAACACACGCCCTCAATCCTCGGTTTTCCCCATCATACTGGCGGTAAAAGGAGAGCGTGGAACAAAAGCAAAACATGGAGCAAAAAAGGGGTTCACTATTTTCTTATTTGTGTAATAAGAGTTGTTGCCAACTTCCTTTTTGAAAAGACCACTCGGCGGATACCAGTAAGTGAGGTCTCGGCTCGATGGCTTAACGTTACCTTCATACTGGTAATCAGAATGACCAACCAGACAAAATATGAATAGGAAGGACACTGCTAATTTTGACCAGTTACAAATAGACAACAAATCCTAACCAGCTGGTAGCCCCATCCCATGTTGTGGAGGAGGGGAAGCCAAGAAAAAAAACTCTGTCCTTATTAACTTAATTTTACAGGGAATCCCGGACCCTCCTCACCGACGATGGAGTATGCAAGGCCGATGCCGTTTCAAATCTCCCGCACGCGATAAACAGACCTCTGGTTGGCCATCGCGCCGTCGTCGCCTCGGCCTCACTAGTTAGGTAGTTAGTGGGCAAACCATTAGTTACTTGACCTTGTTCAGGCAGGCTCATGCCGAATGGTTCCCAACCAACCCTTGGCGGCGGCAGCGTGGCTTGGCCCCGAACGCGATCAATTTTCGTCCATCAAGTTGCACTCCCAACTAGAATGTTAGCTGATGAAAACGGGACAATAGAAGCGGCGGCAACGATGCATCCAACTACTCAACTACTGGTACTGCTACCGAGCTACCAACAAGAGGCATCTAAAACGGCATGCCGAGCCCTCGGGAACTAACTAATAACTCAGCTCAAGATTGCGACGGCTTGATGGCTGGGGGGCCCGTTTGTGTGCCGCCCTTGAGCCTTTACCGCGGTGCGCCCGCACCATTCCGAAAATATCAACAACAATGTCTCGCAGGGGTGGGCATTCGTCGCCACAGAAATTACTGGTATTTTTCTAATAATATGCTCCCTGGCGGCGAATAATGTCTTGTTTCAAAAAGGACACTTTTTGATTTGCGCACCGAGGAGATTGACGTACAAATCTCGACAATTCTTTTGCAAATCCGCCATTCGATAACATTGTTAGTTGCTTGTGCTTGTCGTGGCCAAGACGCTTCCATCACCGACCCCCTACCATTCCCCGTCCTTTTCCGATCCGAGGGGGCCGAAGTACGGAGTACGGATGGCCTACCTATGTAGCTCTGGCAGGCGAAAATCCTCGCGCTCCCTGTAAGCCTCGTCTTTCATCAGCTAGGGGGAGGGGTGTGGGGAAACGAGGGGTTTTGAACTAACGCCATGAACTGACGGTATGTTCCCTTGTTGTAGCAAGCGCGGCAACATCCCTTGGCGGAGTAACATTCAAAGTACGTTCAATATTTTCATCTCTCTTATTAACACTGTTTCGGCCCTACTTGGGCGCTTCATTGGATGCACAAAAGTGCCCAGCTGGCAACGGCGCACGGCAACGTCACGGAGCGCAAGAATGGCTCCGAGCAAAACTCGTCACCGGAGGAGAAGCCACCCGAGCCGGTGCAGCTGCGTGCCTTTTGTCCGCAGCCTCTCTCTCTCTCTCGTTTCTGTATAAACGCGCCGCCCACGTCCCCGTAAAGTCCGTACTTTTGTCATGATCCGACCTGCTGCGCGAGTGAGCTGCGGCCGATGACAAGGCTTATGCAGCAACGATGCAACACACACACACACACCACCACCACCAAGCTTTTCCTGTCTGAGGCTTGTCCAACCCTTCCCGCGCAGCCTTGTTTTATTTATTTTTTTTCCAAGAAAAATTCGCTCGTGGCCGGCTCGGCGAGCAACTGGAGCCCGGCCGTTTTCGATAAACGAGCCCCCTAGCTAAAAATAAAAGATTGAGCCCGGCGCCTAAAAGAGGGTGCGGCGAGACAAGAGGACGGCACAGACGGCAGATCGTCAGTTTGGGGGCTGAAGCTGGTGGATGCTCAGCTGCTTTCTCCTGTAAGGTGACAAAGGAAGACGGGCATGAATGCGGGATTGTTTTGTTTTCTTGTGTTGTATTTGTATGGCATGTCGCAAAGACGGTTGGGCAGCAAAAGATGCACCGCTTTGTAAGATACGTTTTGGTAAAGGCAAAGGCAAATCCGTATAGGGTAAGAGGCCAAACGTTGTGAATCAGTCATTCTTTTGCCAGGTTGTTCACATTCACTAGCTGGTTTGTTGCATTGCTCTTCTTTTCAAAGAAACCTTGCACATCTCAACGCTCGCTATCGAAAGCTTCATCGTGATAAATTGGTGCCAATGTCCTGGACATCTACGTTTAGGAGCAGTACTATCCAACTCAACCCTCAAAAGATCGCCTCGCTAACAAGTCAACCCCCAACCCCTCAGGCAAACGAGCCGTCATGATGCCCATCAGAATATCCTTCACGCTCAGCTCCCTCCCCGCCGCCAGTGCCATCATCGCTGCAGCCGCCCAGCTCCCTTGTGTGACGGCCTTTAGCGCCCGCTCCCTACCTCGGAGCCCGTCCCCCGACGACCGGCACTCGCGGCCACGCGTGTCCAACGAGATGCGCGCGGCGCGGAGCAGGAACCGGGCCCTTCGTGCACAGCTGCGAGAGGCTAGGGCTGAGGTTCAATCGCTGCGCCAGAGACTGGTGGCGTCGGACGACGTCGCCGAGGCCAAGCTGCGGTCAGCCGTCGCGGCCAAGGACCTGGAGCTCAGAGGCACGCGCAATGCTCTTCAAGGGCTGCGTGAGGCACATGTCGAACTGATTAGGGTGATGATGGACTATGGAAGTAAGAGGGGCCCAATTGCTTCTTGATATTGGTAGCCAGAAAAGGCCTATAGACGTAATTTTTTTCTTTCTGACGAATGAGCTTGTTCAAAGTAGCCGTTGGACAGGCACGCCGAATGGTAGGTAGCCCTTTTGTTCCTATCAAAGTACCTGAATACGAGCCGGTTTTCAAATCGCACATCGTCTGTGTAGTTCGCACACGCCATACCCGGCAACCAAACCTGTCTTCGGCGTTTTGTGTAGCGAGGTACATATACGCCACGGCTGCTAAAATGGGCGCAAATCAACGAATGGCTTGAAGTTCCGGGCTCTCGCTATCTTTGGCTTGATTGCACCTTTGTGCTTCGTCCTTTTGTTGCTGAATTCTTTGTCGTTGTTCCTTTGTTGGTGGCTTGTCGGGTGGCTGATACTAGCGCAATGAGGTGACGTTACCGATTCCCACTTGCCCAACAACGCCCCTCACTTTGTTGCGAGGGGCCGAAGACGCGCAAAGTCGGATGAGGTGGCCGAGAATAGAAGCCAGCGGTACCAACAGGGTTGGCTCATTTCAGAAGACTACACTTGCACCCTAATTGCCATGCTACGAACTGCTTTTTCTGCGATAGGGACGACAGGTTGTAGGGAACTCTAAGCGACGGATGCCAAGCGGGGAGCTCTCCCATCGGTTTAATGAGGGGTAGCTAGAAACTACTGAAAACAGCTCATGGGAGCAACAAAGAGTCGCTGTATATTTTTCCTCTCGAAACTTGCAATACTTTCGTTTGCATTTAATCTGAATTCTCAAAGATGTTGGTCAATCAAGACCCGGCTACTGTTGGCCTTGATCCTCTAGCACTCTCCAGAGGCGGCGACGACGATCTTCTTGGAGGTCTTTCCAGATTCGCTTCCGTACGTCTCAACCTTCTGGACGACATCCATGCCCTCGACAACCTTGCCGAAGACAACGTGCTTTCCGTCCAACCAGCCGGTGGTAGCGGTGCACAGGAAGAACTGGGAGCCGTTGCTGGTGACAAGAGTTAGCGGCCATCATGTAACGTAGTCGGGGCGAGACGAACGTGTTGGGACCAGCGTTGGCCATGGAAAGGATACCAGGTCCGGTGTGCTTCAGAGTGAAGTTTTCGTCGGCAAAAGTCTCGCCGTAGATGGACTTGCCGCCAGTGCCCTGTTGACGAGTCAGTATAGAGCGAGAGCTTCGTTGGGGTGCACATCTAGACTTGCGTTGCCCTTGGTGAAATCACCGCCCTGGCACATGAAGCCGGGGATGACGCGGTGGAAGCTAGAGCCCTGGAATCCGAATCCCTTTTCGCCGGTGCAGAGCGCGCGGAAGTTCTCGGCCGTTTTGGGGGCAGCGTCCTTGCGCAGCTCCATGACGATCTTGCCGAGGGGGTCTGGAAAAGTACAAGTCAGCAATTTGGTGCCATTGAGAATGAGAAACAGAGCGTTAACGTACTGCCGTCGGCAGTGATATCGAAGAAGACCTTGGGGTTCGACATTGTGATTGAAGTTGAAGAGTAATTGACAGTGCGGGGTAATGTGTTGCAGGTGGGATGAGCTGGTGTAGCTACGAGATTGCATGGGGTGCGCGAGCTTGGCCTTTTATTCGTTGCAAAACTCTGTTTTGCTTCTGGCTCCAGAAAGAGCGACCAGCTTCGCGGCGCTAGCCAATAGCTGTCCGTAATAATAGAATAACAAGAGGGACAGCTCTCCAGTACTTATTATTACCAAGCTGTCATCGGCCAGTGAACGGTCCTCGAGTTACTCCGTACCTTACCAACCTTTGAGCCAGTTCGTTTGCAGATCAACAAGGTCAAGGAAGCTTGCTACATCCCCTGCATAGGCACCTTTTTGCAAAGCATCTCGTCATGACACATTTCCTGCTCGTTCATCGCTTTGTTTTGATATCATCTTACATCATAGACTGACTGTTGGCAAGCCTGCAGCGCATCCGTCGTCGTGACCACGCAGTCTGTGCAGGCTGTGCAGGCTGTGCAGGCTGTGCTGGCAAGCCGGCCAAGTCCCTTTTATTCATTCCAGTACTTTTTACTCTGTTCTATTTTCAGGACTCGGGTCCTCCTTGTGGATGGCAAAGAGAATTATGTGTAGCACAGCCACTGGAAATGTGTGCCACAGTTCTGACCTCATACCCTGATGAAGAAGTGGGAATATGGCGGCTGGAGACAGCAGCGGGGTCACTAGCAGGGTCACTCACTAGCAGGGTCAGAATAGCGGCACCTCGGGCCTTGGTCCTAAAATCAACCAGGAAGTACTTCTGCATTTCGACATGTTACAATGTTACAATGTCGCAAAAAGAGCTGCCAGGCGAGCATTCTCACAACGGCGGTGTGGGCGTTGTCTTGCCCCCTCCTCTCTGCAACTCGTCACGAGTCAAAACAGTTTTTACCGCCCGCCCAGCTTCACTTGCTATCTCTGGCAAGAGGCGGTCGGTGGACTAAGTGGGAGCGATCAACGATTTTTTTTCATGGCACCAGTCATCAATCAAAGTGACCCGCATGCTGTCTTGCATAGGTACGAATAGAGAGACCGAGACGGACATGTCTACCGCCTCATCCAGCAGCTTGAGTGCGTTGGCGGACGGGGACAGAGGCATGTAATAAATAATAAATCTAGACGATCCCCAGCCTCCGGAGCGCGCGGTAAAATAAGGCCTATCAGTCCTTTGATAATCAGCCCTTGTCTCGTAGCATCAGCCAATGTCTACCCCCGCACCGTCATTGGCACGCCCGGCAAATGATGGAAAATTTTCTAACGGGTGATCGTGGAGGGTCCGGAGAACAGGCGGGGAGGGTCGGGCGGCAGAGTCCAGCCTTGGAAGAGGGTTTACTACCTAGGGGTAGGTAGGTAGGTACCTACCAACTGGTCAATGATAGTTACTGTTCTTGAGATTTACGGCTATTTATGAAATTCCATTGGGTGGGACTTGTTCATATTATCGTATCCTCTGAATCGTTGTTGTTTTTCACATTGGCTTCTCTTTACAGCAGATTTATAGTAAACCCAGCCTACCTACTAACATATCTAGGTACCTAGTTAGTAGGTTAGTAGGAGGTAGGGATAAGTACTTTTACTACCGTCGCTAGGCGGCCGGGCGGCCAGAAATACTGTCCGTCGCATGACGAAACCTTGACGGATTACCACCAAACACCTGGTAATAAGGAGTACGGCAGCCCACTAACAAGGCCGGGTCCGTTATATAAGACTGGGCAGCGTAACAGCAGTGGAAGAACCCGGCAGACCGAAAGGCACAAGATTGAAGATAGCGACCAAAGACATACCGAAACCAGAACTGACCTGGTAGGACCGCGTAGCCAAAGAAACGAGCCGTGGCAATTGCCTACAAAGTCGAGACTTTCCATCTTGACTTGTCAGTTAGTAGCTGGAGGAGTGGCCGACTCTCGCCGCCTGCCGCCTCCTCGCCATGAAATGATCAATGGAACCCTTGGCTATTCAAGTTCAGCTCGGCCCCGGAGCCATGACGCAGTGTGTTTCCACACCACGGAAAGAGGCGTCCTGCCTGAGACGAACAGAGGTATGGCCGACGCTCAATACGCGCGCCTGCCAAGCTAAAACAAATCAAAAACCGAGCAGACAAATGTCGGTGCCTAGACGAACTGCACACCAACTTCCCCCGCTAATGTAGTTTTTTCGCTTTGCGCCCAGACGTGAGTGCCCGAGGGGTGTCGCCGAATTCCCTACCAGTACAAACATCCATACAACGGTCAGCCTCAGTTGGAACCACCACCTCTTGATTTATGCAAGCCACACCGGCCAGTGACGGCGCCGAAAACAACGCGACAACCACACCCCCCGGACCGACTTTGTTATTTGAGCTTTTCCCATCCATGACTATTTTATGACTGTTCAATCAAAAAAGTCCAACCCTCTCTCGCCTTCACCGTGTCGTATTTCTTTGCGGCTTGTCTTCTCCGTTGCTGCGTTTCTGTTCACAAGCTCACTTAGACGATCGATATCCCTAGTGCCTAGCCAAAGATCACCGCCGCCTACCAAAGACGCTGAAGTTATTCCTTGATTTTAGCAGACGTTGGAGCAGTGAAGCCTTGCTTTTCTTTCTCGCCGTTTCGACAGTTGCCTGCCGCTGCAGTACGCTCCAGTGACGTGCAGCTTTGGACGAACTGCACCCCCTGTCCAGACGAGGTTCTAGTTAGTTTGGGTTATCAATCCGTATTGCGATTGCGACGCACTCCTTCCGGAGTATCCAACCAACAAAATACATTCTTCAATCACCATACTCGGCCTCGCCCATGAAAAACGGTACACAATGACAACGGACTCGCAGCGGAATCCCCTCCGCAAGTTCGTGGGCCGGCTGCGTGCTGGCAGCATGAGTCTCATCTCCCCACGATCTTCTTCCCACAGCAGCCACGACTCTGGCCACAACAGTCACAGCTTCTCACCGCGGCGAAGGACAAACTCTCCACGCAACTCCCTGTCTAGTCTCGCGGCCGCAGCGGCCCGCGAAGCTGGCCTCTCCCTCGACCTCTGGAACGCGGCGTACGACAGTCTCCGCGACGGGCCGTCCACCTCGGGACTTGTCCTGACGTACGAGTCCATCGTATCGCAGGAGCTGCCGAGTCACATGAAGACTGGCGGAATGACGATGAATTTTCGCGGGCGTTCCGACGAGGACCGTCTACGGCTTTTACAGGAGATTATGGGCGCTGGTCTCGGAAAGAGGAGGGGCTCGCGGACAAACCAGGGCGAGTCGCAGGCGCGTACGACGATTGATGCTGCTAAAGCAGCTATTGACGCTGTGGTACCGTTATATATGTCGTCGGCAGTTGCGTGGGCCGGAATATGCACTATGACACCGGTGAGCATAACTCTTGGCCTTTATTCCTTGCATACCGTTCGGCCGTACAGTATGCTAATCACATGAGGTCTTTTTATCGATGTAGCTCCTCTTGGATCCTATTTTACGACTTGATTACATGTACGCTGGGTTTTCTCATGTACTCGGTCGCATAGACTTTTACATGACACTCGCATCCCTGCTAGTCCCGGGGAGTTGGCGCGACGAAGCCAAGTTTCGATCGCAGCAAGACGCCGTACGCGACCAGATATCACGACAATATCGGAAAATCCTGGAATTTGAGATGAATTGCGTGTGTGCGGCCGGTAGCGCTTGGAACCCGGCGGCAAAGAACGTGGTGGACTGGAACGGCCTGGCGGAGATGATCAAGCGAATCGAGGAAGCCGACGAAGAACTCGTGGATCGAATCAAAGTTAACACGACAGCTGTGGCGAGGCACAGGCTACTAAAGAGTTACAAAGATTTGGAGCCACTGGCGATGTCGGCAGACTCGATGAACCATCATCACATGGCCGCCATTGCGACGGCGGTGGCTGCTTGAGTGATGGTTTGGTGGCCCGCAAGGGCTTCAATTTTGAATGTTCGGACTTGGACACAAAAGCTTTGCACGATATCACGACTATTTCAGGAAGTGTTTCTTTTTCTGAGGATTATTCGTTCGCAGCGGCGCTTGGAGCCTTTTGGTTATGCATGGATGGTTGATTTGGTGGCGCAGAGAATATGGCATTCCATTGAGGACTTGAAAATTTACAGGAAAAAAATATGCCCAAGAATATATTACGTTTTGGCTAGACTTTCGCTGCTAATGCTTGAGTTTGTATATGGTTAACTCATGGGCTTGCTCTAGAAGCATACCTCGCCACTTAGCGACCAGATAAATTCGTCTCTAAATCACGATTTTGTGCGATCAAGGAATACGAAAGAACAGTTAAAGGACACATTATTACAGCATTGCCTCTCTAGCCTTATCATCTCTTGCAACCTTGAGGATAAGTTCACTGCTAAATCGGGACAGCACGCGCATCAAGGTTAATCCGCTTTCTTGACAGTTAGCTGCCGGGGTCTAATGAGCTCGCCGCAGCCACAAAAGCAGACACGCTGGAAGGGCAGTCTAACGCGCCCGCGCGTCGCCAGACCAGCACCAGGAGACGAACCAACCAAGCTCAAACAAATCCCCCCCCCTTCAACACCATCAATCTTCTCGCCCTTTCGCCATCGAACAAAAAAAGACCACGCATCATAGCTCATGCGGGAACACCCCTGTTAGCATGCTCCTCATTAAGCCGTCATGGCTGAGCCACAGCGGCGAGCAAAAGGACTTTGAAGTCTACAGCTGCCATGTCTCGCCCGATGGCAAGCGTCTCGCGACGGCTGGCGGCGACGGCCACGTCCGCATCTGGTCCACCGAGGCCATCTACAACTCGCGCGACCCGTCGTACACGAAGCCGCGACAGCTCTGCCATATGAGCCACCACCTCGGCACCATCCATTCAGTGCGCTTCAGCCCCAACGGCAAGTACCTAGCCAGCGGTGCCGACGATAAGCTCATCTGCGTCTACCACCTCGACAAGGGCCCACCGCCTGCGACCTTTGGCTCCGATGAGGCGCCCCCTGTCGAGAACTGGAAGACGTACAAGCGATTGATTGGCCACGAGAATGATGTTCAGGACCTGGCTTGGTCGTACGACTCGTCCATTCTCGTCTCCGTGGGCCTGGATTCCAAAGTCGTCGTCTGGTCGGGCTACACCTTTGAAAAGCTCAAATCGCTGCCTGCGCATCAGTCGCACGTCAAGGGAATCACATTCGATCCCGCCAACAAGTTCTTTGCGACCGCCAGCGACGATCGAACTATCAAGATTTTCCGCTTCACATCCCCTGGCCCCAATTCGACCCAGCACGACATGATTAACAATTTTGTCCTCGAAACTACAATTAGCTCCCCCTTCAAGAGCTCGCCGCTTACAACCTACTTCCGACGTTGCTCCTGGTCACCGGACGGAAACCATATCGCGGCTGCTAACGCCGTCAATGGACCTGTTAGCTCTGTCGCAATCATCGAGCGTACGCGATGGGATAGCGAAATCAACTTAATCGGCCACGAAGCACCGACGGAAGTGTGTCTGTTTTCTCCCCGACTGTTTCATACTGTGAAGCCCGGCGACGACGACGCCAATGGAGATCAGCCTCCGCAGCTCGTTACGGTCATTGCATCCGCCGGACAAGATAAAACGCTCAGCATTTGGAATACAAATACATCCCGTCCTGTTGTCATCCTGCAAGATCTCGCTGGAAAATCTATTTCAGACTTGGCGTGGACACCTGACGGTGAGACCCTATATGCTGCGAGCTTGGATGGAAGCATCGTCATAGTCCGATTTGAAGATGGTGAGCTCGGCTGGGTTGCCAGAGAGGAAGAAAATGACCGCGCGCTGCAAAAATATGGCGTCTCGCGAAAGGGTATGGGAATCTCAGAGGATATCGACAGCCTGATGCTAGAGGACCAGAGCAGGGCTGGCGAATCAAAGGCGTTGCAATCACGAATGGGCGCATTGATGGGAGATGCCCCTGGAAGCAAGCCATCTGCTGCTACTAATGGCACCGATACTGGCGCCTCTACACCCAAACCCGCAGCCAATGGCAGTGACTCGACTGAAAAACCTGAGGAAGACAAGATTGCAGAACGAGTCAAAGAGCTCAAGTCTAGAGTAACTGTCGGCAAGGACGGCAAAAAACGTGTGGCGCCTCTGTTGGTATCCTCATCTGGTACCGGCCAATCCTCGTTGCCTCAATCGCAGTTGATCGGTTCTACGTCGGCGAGAGCATCACAGCAGGATGCGCCGCTGACAGTTCTAGATCTCAGCAAACCTTTTGACGGACTTCCAAAGGGGGGCATCGCATCCATGCTACTGGGCAACAAGCGCAAAAGTGTGGTCGCCGAGGGAGATGAAGAGGAACATCTCGCCAAGCGACCGACCGGCGGCCCAACGACCATCATGACCAACGGCGCAGATGGTATTGAACCGGCAGTGCTCACAAACATTGAAAATGGCGTCCTTCCTACGCCAGAGTATTTGCGACCCGCCGTCCTGAACCCAGCCATATCTGTTGCGGCGGTGAGGCTTGCAGTGCCCCGCGTGCGAGCGCATATCCTGCGACCCCTCCAGCATGGAATTCTTGGTGCTGAAGAGTCGGCAGCTAAGACGTCCGAAGCTATTCTGCTCGAAGCCAAGAATGACGTCAACCCTCGTGATCCGTCTCAAGTCATCGTTTCGAAACGGGGCGTTGTCGTCTGGCACGAATTCTTGCCCCGCGCCATTATATTAGTCACTGCAAACAGGAACTTCTGGGTCGTTGCCTGTGAAGATGGCTCTATTCACATATGGTCGCCTGCAGGACGTCGACTTCTGAACCCCATAATCCTTGAATCACAACCCGTCATTCTCGAGTGCCGCGACCATTGGTTACTGTGCATTACGGCGGTGGGAATGGTCCATGTATGGGACATTAGTATGCAGTCTTCACCACACCCGCCCGTGTCACTTGGACCAATTCTTGACATTGCGACGTCATCATTCGACCAACACACCGCCTCCCCTGGCCCAGGTGTTACGTCAGCTCATCTCAATTCGACCGGGCATGTTGTTGTTACTTTGACGAACGGCGATGGATTTTATTACGCTCGCGAGATGTACACGTGGCAGCGGTTAAGCGAGGCCTGGTGGGCTGTTGGATCTCAATACTGGAACTCGAATGATTCATCTATTTCTGCTTTACAATCTACTGCAGTGGGACCAAAGTCAAAGACGAGGTCGAGCAGGAGAAGGAGCAGGAGAAAACAAGAGGAGGAAGAACGGGAGGAGCCAGCGGTGGACGTTTCGTCTGGCATCATCCCATTCTTGGAGCGTCATACCACCAACGAGTTTCTGCTCAAAGGCCGAGCATACGCGCTGCAACGCATCATCAAGACACTTATTCAACGCAAGGAAGCGGAAGACTTGGAGAGCGTGGTCAGCATCGCGCATCTCGAGAATCGCATCGCTGGAGCAATGCAGCTTGGAGCTCGCGACGAGTTTCGATTGTATCTGTTTATGTATGCAAAGCGGTTGGGAGCCGAAGGTGCACACGGGAAAGTCGAAGAATTGTTGAACACCCTTATCGGCGGTATTCTCCAGGGCGGTGAAGTGGATGCAGAGGGTGGAAAGGGCTGGTTCAGCAAGTCAGATGAATTGTGTGGTTGGGATCGAAAGGAGTTATTAAAGGGCGTAGTACTGATTCTCGGTAAGCAAAGACATCGCAAGCGATGTTTCCAAACACAATGCTAACCATGTTGCAGGAAAGTTCCGTGAACTGCAGCGACTTACCGGCCAGTACGCCCGACTGTTGGACCTCGATCTGGGTAGTAGTGGAAGGGATGTCGATTCCATGGAAATTGAAAATTAGCTCCTCGCGGCTGATATGTGAAATAGGCTGGAATGCCTTGTATTATCAAGTTAGAAGGAGTTGTTCGAGCGTGTTTTGCGGTGGTCATGGTTGCTATGAAACTCGGGCGTTTGACGGCGTTTGTAGCTTGGTACTGCCACGTTTGCTTGAAGATGGCTAGGTAGAGAGCCGCCGACTTGGCTGCAATAATGACTTTTTTGTTCTCTTTAGCTGCCGGCTCGACCTGTAGCCGTAGCATTCACTAGAGGCCATTCAGTGGCCTGAAAGTTGGTTGTTCACATGCAAACCGCCCGAGGGAGGCGTGCCCAGGCAGGCAGCTGTCAACGTGCCGGACCGGCAACTGCCAACAGTCAGACGAGGGCCAGATGTTTTGGGAATTTTTCTCGTAGTTCGCCACTCGCACGCTCTTCTTGATTCTTCTCTTTGCATTGTACTTTTTGTCCCGTCCTTTGGTTCCTGCTTCCACCTCTTGGTTCACGTCAGCAGACTTGCCCCCTGCCGAGCTCTGTTTAACTCCGTTCCTGTTTTTCTTCACAGGATATCCTTGATGGGTTCTTGCTCTCCTGCACCAACTTACGCTCATTTCCGATCTTGACTCTCCCCAGCGACGGACCGACAACCAACCAAGCCAACACGGGACGGGTATCACCTTTCGTGGCTGAACATGGAGCTCTTGATCCCACCTGTCCGAGGCCTCAGGGACGGCGCAGAGTTCTGGAAGCTGGTCTTTGCATTCCTTGCACTTATTCCAGCGTGGAAATGGCTCGTAAGCGAAAACTCGGCTGAACCGACTCAAAACTGCGGGCAAGTTCAAACATCTTGTGGCTACTGTCACGATATCTGGTCTAGCAATAAAATCACGTCCCAGGGTGCTGCTGCAGGCGATGTATACGTGCCAGAGTCATATCTTCAGCATGTTACCTTGATGATGCCGAATGCCAGCTGCCCTTGGCCGGTTCTCTACACCGACTCGATGCAACAATACCCTGTCGAAGCGAAGTCGACTGAGTATCAACAAGGTGCTGCTATCGCTTTCGTCAAATGCACTGAGCTTGCCAGGGGCGCAGGTTCACTGCCGTCGCACACCAAAGAGGCAGAAATCTTCGATTCTGTGGTTGGTGTGTGTGAGATAGAGGTTGCTGATGCGAGTGTAAGTTTGAAAGCTCACCCAAGCTCGTTCGTGCCGAGACTGATGTATCAACCACAGACCCAGAAACGCCGCAAGTATCTCGTTGAATTACCTGAAGATTTCATCCACCGGCAACAGACCCCGAGCAGACATCCGATTGTTAATGCCACCTGCCCAGGCTTTGCGGAATGCTGTGAGGGATTTGCGAATAGCTCTGTGAGACTTCCACGACTGCACCAACCCATCTCCGCAAGCAGTGCGTATTTACTTTCTCTATTCGAAGTTGATTTGCAACAGGAAACGTGTGCTTCCGTTCAGAAATTTGCAGCTCTTACGACCAATTTTTTGGAAATCAGCCTCGATGCTATGTGGCGTCTGATCCAAACCGTTGACACGATGATGGGTCTCCGGCTCTATTACCAACGAGGTTTTCTCGACCATCTCAACAACCTTGGGAACTTCTGTCGTCTGACAACTCGATCTATTTCGGTTCCAACAACAAGCGCCAACAAGCTTCTGCCGCAGAGGAGGGTTTGGAGCTTCCGAAGGCGGGCGGCGACTTCCGACACAGCCAGCCCGGCTGAATACACACCGAAACCGGCGGTGAATCTCTTGCAAGGATCTCGTCAAGCATTAGACTAGCATTCTCTAGATGCTTCCGGGAACCAGGAAGATAGTTCAGCCAGCATGTTTTGGCAGCTGAAGCTTTGGGAGCATCTCGCCCAGGACATTGGTCAGCAAAGTACAATGCCCGGTCTTCGGTCAGGAAACACGGTTATTGATGAGCGCAACTTTGCCTTGGGAAGAGGCTGGTAACGGTGCCACATGGTTGGCTTTGTTGCCTGATCTGAACACTAACGAATTTGCTAGATTGACAATGAGATTGAGGAAGTGTACGGTAGGCATCTACCCATCTATAGACTGAGATAGCTTTTAGCAATATCATGTTTTTGAACACGAGTTAAATTTTAGCTGACATGACCTCCTGATATGACGTGCGTCGCCACTCTCGCGCCAAGATGGATAGTTGCTGGCATTACATTAACTTGTGACAACTCGCTGCACGGGGGGGGGGGGGGTTGGAAGGCGCGGAGAGTTTAGGCAAAGGAAGCGAAAGTGAATGACTGCCAAAGACACACTCGAGCCTGCATGTTGTCGATCGGGTGGCGTGGCGGTTACTGAGAGCGCGGCGCAGGAGTAAGACCCAACCACGATTTAAAAAAGGGCTGAAATTTGAGGCATGGAATGTATTCGACTGAGGGTTATGCGCAAAACTCCCATTGAGGATTTGTAGTAAAGCCGTTGCATTTTTGCCTAGTCATGGTTGTAAGCCATGATGATGCCAACGGGGTCTGCATGCCTACCTACTAGGTACCTAGGTAGGTATTTAGTATGACGAAGACTACTACAGCGTTGTATGACTCTACTTGGGCTACATAGTGTCCGCTTCTTTTCAAACATCGTTTTAAAGCGACATCGTTTTAAAGCGACAGCGTTTTTAGCATCTTTCCGATACAGCTTGAGACATCCCTGACGCGGCTCCGGTGTGGTTCCAGGCCCACCAGCACTGGATGGCCCTGTAGATGGAGCTAGGGGTGTAGATCGACGGCCAGGACTTGGCGAGTTGCGAGCTGGCCACGGGCCTTTTCCTCAGTACGGAGTAGTCCTTGTTCATAAAAGAAGGGTGGATGAATAAGAAAACGGAACAAGAATGAATCAAAACTAAAACTAGCTAGAAAGAGACTGATGATGTGACATTAATGGCCGAAGAATTCAATCATGTCGGCGGTCAAGAGTCGGTGCCTGACCGCTGCAGGCGCGCCTGGTCGCAGATTTCAGCGGGGCCTGCGCTGCTGGCATGCAGGCTGCAGGTAGCTTCATGCACCCCATTTGCCTGTCACTGACTGGTGGCTGCAGAGACTCGGCAAGCTGGACAAGGGGAGAAACCTTGCTCCGGCAGCTCAATGGATCATGGATGACGACGCTGGACATTCAAAAAGCCCTTCGCCCCCATTCCACGGCTATGTAGATGTTGCTCGAAATCCCATTCTATCTTGCTTCCTTTCGAGTTTCTTCTCTGCGTAGCTATTTGTCCCTCGCACCGACCCTCCTCCTCGTCGCCCGACTACCCACTAGGTACAAGTCAAGTCACAGGTACTGTACGTGCACCCAGCACGCGACACCTGCATTGGCGATTGATTGGGCGACGCAGCCTCCTTTCACGCCTCCCGCCTCGTCCCCACTGGCCCTGCGTCTGTCCCTCGCGACAGGCCTGCCTTAGGAGAGCTTCACAACTTTCTTTTCTTGCGCTTTCTCCTTTCTGCATATCAAGCCTCCCAATAGCTGCCGACTAGTCGACTCGACCCAAAGATTTCACTTAATCCTCCTATTTTCTTCACTCCTTTACTACTAGCCTTGTTCGGCTTGAACTCTTGTTCTGGTATAGCTCCGACGCTTTGGTCACGGTTTGACATTCCACTCCTTTCTTCCCAGCAGCTGGCCGACTACGACTACAAGCTCATCTACATCCTGTTCGCCTGTCTGTCTACTTCAATACCGCGACACAGTCGTGCTGTTCGAATCCCAATTCCTTTCCCGACGAGCCATCGATTTGCCGACTGGAAACCAACGAGCCCAGCAACAGCCGCGACTGGCTAGGCGAGGTCGCACCAATTCTGCGCTTTGAACGCCTTGGACTTCGGAGCCATTGCGTCATACATCTCTCCAGCAGCTGTTAAGCGCTTTCCTACCCGACATCCTACAACAACTGAAATCCGCCGCTTTGCCAAAGAGCTCCAAGCATGGGATTTCTAGCACGAGGTGGCACTGCTGCCACCAAGCCGGGATCGATCCCTATGCACATCTCCCTCATCACGGTACGCTTGGCACGCTTAGCTGTCGCGAGACGTATCGCAGGCTCGCAAACCTAACTTGGCCAACAGTTGACGTTTCAAAACTCTGCGCTGATCCTCGTATGTTCCCATGAGCTACAAGGCCGCTGCTCCTCCCACTAACATGGTACCCAGCTCATGCATTACTCCCGAATCATGCCTCCGTCTGGTGATCACCGGTACTTTACCTCGACAGCCGTACTGATACACGAAGTCATCAAGTTTGCCATCTCTCTCACCGTGGCCATTTACGAAGCCTCCAAGACACTTGCGCCGAGCACACCCGCCACTGTCCTGTTTGAACAAATTTCCAATGGAGTCTTCTCTGGCGACGGCTGGAAGCTGGCTCTGCCAGCCGTCTTTTATACGCTACAAAACTTGCTGCAATACGTCGCTCTTGGCAACTTGGACCCTGTTCATTTCCAGGTCTTGTACCAGCTAAAAGTATGTTTTTTCTGGCTGAGCCTATCTGACCTACGGTGCTGACCGCATTCTTAGATCCTCACTACAGCAGTCTTTAGCGTTTGTCTTTTAAACCGTTATCTGGGCGCTACGCGCTGGGTTTCTCTCATAATTCTCACAGCCGGCGTCTCGGTGGTTTCACTTCCTTCTGCGGGCGACTCCCTCGAATCTCTATTCATCCACAACGTCGCGGACCACTTCTTCCCTCGATCGCAACACGAGCTTGGATTCCAACCCAACATGGACAACAGCGAATCACCTGCGCACCTTAGCCGCCGATCGGCTAGCTACGAGGGAATCAACAGCGACCAGTTTCCTTCAGATCCCGTCATGAACTACTCGGTCGGTCTCACGGCAGTTCTCATTGCTGCGATCGTGTCCGGCTTCGCAGGTGTGTACTTTGAGAAGATTCTCAAGGAGTCTCCCTGCCACAATAGCGTCTGGATCCGAAACCTGCAGCTTGGCGTCTACTCGATCCTTGCTGCTTTCTTTGGCGGCGTTGTCTGGCAGGACGGTGCCGGAATCATGGAGCACGGCTTCTTCGAGGGTTACAACTGGGTTGTGTGGGTCACCATTGTGCTGCAGGCCGTTGGAGGTGTGATTGCCAGCATCGTCATTAGAGATGCCGATAACATCGTCAAGAATTTTGCCACGAGCATCAGCATCGTGGTCAGCTTCTTTGTCAGTGTCTGGCTATTCGACTTTCCAGTGACCCTCACGTTTCTCCTTGGTACCTCGCTGGTCCTGGCTGCTGTCTGGCTCTACAGTGCCCCCGACCGCGGCCGATCTCGCCCATCGCCCCTCCACATCGCCAGCTTCGAAAAGCCTGCGATTGAGCGAACGTTGACCCCAGGCTCGACTCCGCGAACTGTTGATCCTAGGCGACTCAACATGGACCCCTTTGACGCCAAGGGTCTCTCGTCGAGCCGTCCGAGCAGCCCGGCACCAACGCCGCGCCAAGTCAGCCGTACCAACTTGGCAAAGCAGCTGTAAATGCAATGATATGGGGAATTGGGCGGGGTATATTTTGTTATTACAAAGATTCAAATGTGCGCTGTACGATATGGCCGTACAACGCCAGGCATGTTGAGTCCCGTCTGTGAGTAGAGGGACTGACTGTGAGACGGGAGGCATTAGAGCTTGATTTGTTCCGTCCTTTTTTTTTCTGGAAAGAGTTTATAAGCAGCACACGTCACGGATTGATACCATGAGGAAGGGGCATTTATTTAGAGTATAGAAGAACGAGTAAAACGGGTTGGGCATCTAAAGAGCATTACTATTCGGACGGAAACATTTGGATAGTCGCCCGGGTTTAGAAGCTACTATGTACCTATAGGTAGGCTATAAATGAACAAGTTTGATGGTATTTTCAATCTACCAAGTATTTTAGAGTTGTAACCATGGTGCGATCTTGTCTTGTTTGCTTGCTGTTGCAGGTGTGAGGCTCAGACTATGGGGGACGCCTGCTTTAATTATTTTGCTAAAGATTTGTACAACTTGATATAGTTCTTGAACGATCGCCTCTTGCTCTTGATAGCATGTTGAGATCTCGCTGTGCTGTCCGATCCCGCTATGCGTGATCAGCCACAGCCCACAGCCACAGCCCACAGCCACGGGCCGCTCCCGCCAGGCAACAAAAAGTTTCTTCCCCAGCAAAAGGCGGCCCACCTCCCAGCCACCTCGTTAAACCCCTGAGCTGGATGCATCTCGTGCTCAACTCCAGCCGACAATAATCTCTGTTAGCACAGCAACACCTTAGCTGTGTCCGTACCCTCGATTTATTCTAAATCAGGCTTCAACTGAGTTTTCAATATCGAATCATCGTTGTTATTGCAATTGGGTATCGAATCTGAGGGTTGAGCAAAATCTACTGCCGCTGTGGCCCGGCTCTTGGAAGTGCGTCTATCGTGTTTTATCAGGGCCGGGAGAGGCCACAGAGTACGCCATCGCGATTCTCTCCCAGGGTTTTGCGACGCGCAATTCTTCCCACAACATCCTCAAATTGATCAACAGTACGCCGTACGAAGTACCTTTTACTGTAGTCTTTCTTATTTCTGGAATCGCGACAATTTACTCTATCACGTTGCTGAGAGAGAGCAGTCTTGTGTGCCTCGCCCCTGCTCCTCTAGCCGCATCTCCTCTCTTACACACGCATACATACCCCCAAGTTTTGAGTCGCGACGCTGCTGCTTATACGCCATCTCAGCAATGCTTCGATGTTAGGCTTTGTACATTTAAGCACCAAAATTATTCAGAGCAATTGTCACCATGCCGTCCGCTGCCAATACTGTCCATCGCAGCCGCACACGCGGCATCAAAAGAGAGCGCGAGTCGCTCAACTCACTTCCGTCTGACAATGAAGTGACCTCAGAAGCCAACCGGGCCAGCTCACGGGAGCCAAGCACAAATCATTCACTTGGTTCTGCCACAGATACCCCCGGTATGGCGCCGCCGCTCTCCTACCGTCACAGCCGGTCTGATGCTCGTAAGTTGTCACTTTCACAGCCCCCATCCCACCAAAAGCAGAACATTTCTCCAAACGCGTGAGCTGTCAACATTCACCACTCCCACAAGTGCCGTGCCACATCTTCTTTCTGACACGAATTTCTAGCTACGGCAAGCGAACGCGCAGAGGATACCGAGCCTCTGTTTCGCGAGGTGCGAGTGATCCCCAGGATGCCGGTACCGAGCGCGTGCCCCCAAGAAGAGGGCAGCTTCTTCCAAGAATCTTTCAAAGACATTGCCAAGAGGCTGAAAGCCTTCAACGATGCTCTCGGTGAGCTACAGCAGCTGGGCGTCTCTCACGACGTCCAGCTACCCGAGCTCGTTATGGTCGGAGACCAGAGTGCAGGCAAGTCCAGTCTCATGTCTGGTCTTGCTCAACTGGACCTACCCCGAAGTGAAGGGACCTGCACCCGCTGCCCGCTTCATATACGCGTCTCTATGAGCCCAGAATGGTCGTGTAGAGTGTGGCTTCGCAAAGACTACACCTACTGCCCTCCCGCCGACGGCAACATCTTGGAGTCTGATGTCACGGCGGCAGACCCCTTTTTTCCGTGGAAAAAGCAGCCGACGACGGGTGTTGTCGAGTTTAAGACCATGCGCGACAACTCTGAAATTGAAGAAGTCCTTCGCTGGGCACAAATCGCCATCCTCAACGACAACAAAAACCCTGCCCTGTACGTGCCCGGCTCGGGATCCATCGCTTCCAACACGCCCATCTCTCAGGAGGCAGATCGGACCTTGGCTAAATTTTCCCCTAATATTGTTGCTCTGGAAATCAAGGGTCCTGATCTGCCCAACATCTCATTTTACGACATGCCAGGCATTTTTCAGAACCCCGCTGATGCCCGCGATGACTATCTTGTCTCCGTTGTCACCAACTTGTCAAAAGCCTATATCCAGCATCCATCGGCGATTATCATGTGCAGCATGCCCATGAACTCGGATGCCGAGAACTCGTCCACCTTTGGCTTGACCAGAAAGCTCGGGGCCTCGGACCGAACCATCGGTGTTCTCACCAAAGCTGATTTGCTAGCCCCTGGAGAGAACCACGACCAATGGCTCTCCATCATGAAAGGAGAGGCTCACAAAACTGGTCTCGGGTACTTCATCACATCCCGCCCTCAAAGCAAGTCGTTGGAGGAGCTAGGAAGATGGGAGGAAGCCATGTTTGTTGAGCATAGCGTGGAATCATGGCCAAGCGACTTTCATCAATTCAACAATCGCTGCGGTGTGGAGAAGCTCAAGACGTTTTTGTCAGAGAAATTGGCGGACGCGTTTGCAAGCAGGTACGAAAACCCCCCCCCCTGCTTTGGCCCATTCTAACATGCATGCAGTCTCCCAACCATTAAACGCAAAGTCGCCGGCCATCTGCAAAAGGTCAACAAACATCTCGCAGCTCTTCCAGAACTGCCTGACAATATTGAGCTAGAGGTGGAGTCAAGCTTGATGCAGTTCTCCGAGAGCTGCCGCCAAGGCATCGACGAGCTAATTCGATATGGCGGCGTTCTCCCGACGGCCTTTCGCGATTGTCTGCTACATATAAAACCGAAATTCATTCTGAAAGACAGGAGCGATGTTCCTTTGGTGGAGATCTCTGACGACGATTCAGATGCACCTCCACCACCAGCAACAACTCCGAAGCGACGACTGGGCGTAGGTCAAATGACTCCATCATCCAAACGTGTTCGGCTTGAAAATAGCGTGAACATTTCTAATGGCCACGTTGCAAACATAAAACGAGAAGACACAACGAGTCCATCCTCAGTAGCTGCGGCAGCCGTACGCGCTAAAAAGGCTAAGCTCCTTCCGCCGTTTGCAGACTTTAGCTCTCTGGGGAGTGGCTTCCGGACTCTTGCTCAAGTCAGGGCCGAGATAACCGGCAAGATGCAAGCTGGTACTCCCGACGTCATCCCGCCGGATGTTTATCAGGGCATGGCGATAGAGTCTCTCCGCGTATGGGAACAGCCGCTTCAGAGATACTTATCAGCAACCATGATTCAATTGCATGGAAAGCTTGGAGAGAAACTGGATTCATCGCTTAATGGTCTGCGGAAACGTCTGATCTTCCGCGAAACTGCAGAGCATTTAACATGCTTTCTCAAAGAGCAGCTGAAGCAGACCGAAGAATTAGCTGCCCTAGTATATAAGCACGAGACTCAGCAGCTTATTACATTCCAGGAGGAGACTTTCAAGCTTTACCAGGGGTATGAAGAGCAGGAGATCGAGTGGTTTCGACACAAGATGCGGTGCCAAGCTCGCTGTCCAGAGATGCTGCGCCGACCTGTTGTCTGGACCAAATTGAACGAGGAGCAGAGACAGCAGGAGTTAAAGGAGCAGGAGAAGGAGAAGGAGAAGCTCAAACTCGGACCTGATGCCTTCGCAGACGAGGTCAAGGTAATAGCGTATGTTAGGGGATATTACCGACTCGCCGCGCATAGGTTCGTGGACCGCATGGCACAGCTCACACTCTGCGGTATGCTGCCAGAGGTTCGCAAGCGTCTCGATTTCGAGTTGCGAACTCGTCTGGGCATCCGCGGCGGCAACGCCAGTGCCGCCTACCAGCGCTTGATGGAGGAGGATGCGGCCACGGCGCAGAAACGGGAACGCCTCAAGGCCGAGCAGGAAAAGTTTGTCCGGGCCCTAGAGACAATACAAGCCCTAGAGGGTAACACGGGCCTCGATGAGAGCATTTACGACACAGCCAGCGCGTCCATGTCCTTTCTGGGACGAGATAGGGACGTTGTTATGGAAGACTCGCAAACCACAAGCGAGTTCGCTAGCGGCGAAGCCTAGAAATCCCGTACGTCTTCGACTTTAGCTTTTGATGTTGAGATACGAACGAAGGAGGAATCATCATCGCTTGCTTGAGCATGACAGCTCATGTTGAGGACGATGTTCCGCCGACAAAACAAGTATTTGTTTGACTTTTTTGAGATTTTATGTTTTGAGAATCTTGATGGCGTTGAGGAACTGGTGGGAGGACCATGGAAGACAGCCAATCAATGTATACTAAGATGAGAAACACACACTTGCTATAGACCACTCAATTTGTATGAGAAACGAAGAATCAATTTCCTACATGCGAAGCACATGGTTGTCGGTGCCCCAGTAGAATCCAAGGCCTCCTGCCCTTCTCCCCTACTCCAACTGGTGGAGCCGGGGCGGCGCCCAAACTCAATTCCGGCGGACCGGTGGCCGGAGTGCGTAGTCATTACACACTAGTTGGAAAAAGAAAAAAAGAGGCTACGGCTCCGGTGTGGCTGGCGGCGCCGATGGTCGCTATCCAAGGATAAAATAGCTCAAAATTGGGTGGTGGGAACGTTGCATGTCCCCAGACTCTGTAGACGGCTCCGCCACTTCTTGTATTTAATGTTTTGTTCTGGCCTCCTACATGCAACTTTGTATTCACAACAAAAACAACAGAAAAAGATTGTAAATCAAGATATCAAAAATGTCACAGAAAGTCTGGAAGAGAAACTTTGCAGCTGGCCACGGCCTCGAAAAGGTGCTCGCCGCGACCAAGAATCCGGCGCCGGAGGTTGCGATCCCGTACCCCCCGGCCACTGTACGTTTGACCACGACTCCCCCCCCCTCCCCCTCCCCCCGCGCCCCTCCTCTCTTTATGCCTCACCATCCCTTGCTCCACGCTGACGCAACCCTCGCGTATGTAGCTGGACGAGCTGGCCTCGACCGACTTTGGCGGCAAGGGCTTCACGCTAGCGGCCTTTACGGCCGAGGACGCCTGGGAGCTGGGCCACCTGCTGCACGCGCGGCTGCTCGACCACGCGGCGTCAGCCGGCCGGCCGGCGCTCATCAACATTGCGCTCGCGGCGGCGGGCGGGCCGACGCTGTACCAGAGCGTGACGGGCAGCGGGCTGCTGCCGGACCACGAGGCGTGGGTGCGGCGCAAGCGCGCGGCGGTGCTCCGCTGGGGCACGAGCTCGTACATGGTCGGGCGCAAGCACGGAAACGGCGACGAGGCGCTGTTTGCGGCCAAGAACGGGCTCGGGCCCGAGGGCGCGGGCGAGTACGCGATTCATGGCGGCGGCGTGCCGATTCGCGTCCAGGGCGCCGAGGGTATCGTGGCTATCGTCGTGGTGAGCGGCTTGAAGCAGGAGGAGGACCATGGTGTCATTGCGGATGTCATTCGCGCCAACTGGGCTTAGATGGATGAGTGGTGCTGTGAAATGGCATTGGAATGCATGAATGGCAACCTGTATCAAGAGTCCTATCCATGAGGTGTTGTATCATCGAAACTTCGCATCAATAAAAGCTCGTACAATAACAAGCCGAATCAAAATGGAAAAGTAAACAAGATTGCATTTGTATTGGTTTAATCTATCGACATAGTGGACAGGCATGTAGGTATAGTATATGTCACATGTTCCATGAGTTCATCGAGCAAGTGGACGCGCCGAGCTATACGCTCGGTTCTTACATTTGTAAAAGTGAAGGGGTATAATGAAACAGAGCACAAGAGAAACAAGAATGGACGTTGTTGCTCACGAGAGCCGCCGCCTACCATCGCCGGCGTATGGGAGCGGGGCGGACGATGACTGGTTGTGTAGACATCGGCGCCGTTCCCATGAATCTCGTCGCGTTTTGGCTACTAGGTGAGCTGACGGTGACCAGGACAGTGTTGACAACGGTGGCCGTGCTGATCGAGTCGGGAGGGCACGGGTCGGTGAAGTCAACAGTGGGAATCGTCTTGAAGACTTGATTGGTTTGGACGGTAACAGCCGCGGGCTTCTCGAGACGAGAGGGGCTTCCAGCGGACACAGGCTGGACCGTAAGGGTGATGACGGGACCCTCATCCGAGGCTAGAGTGCTGCCCGCCTGGGAAACAGTGACTGCCCCTGGCTGCTGGAACTTCTGGGCAGCAATGACGACAGTCTTGGTAACGACAACTTGGTGAGACTGCTCAGGATGGATAGGGGTGTCGACTGGCTCCTCGCAAGGGTCAGGCGCAGGCTGGACGGTGCTATCCTCGGCAACAGTGTACAGCCGCTGAGGAGGAGACAGCGTATGGGTGACAGTGACGGTGACGGTGGCAATGGTGACCGGGGCAGGCTGGACGAATGTAACCGTGACAGGGTCACAGGTTGATGCTGGTTGAGTGACGGTAACTGTCGTGCTGTTGCCGAACTTGGGACAGGGACAGCATTCGTCGCTGCGGGCGCGAAGAGGCTGGAGGGTGAACCGGGCAGAGGCCAAAGAGGCCGCTGCCAGTAGCACCCAGGAAATGATGGTGGAGTGCATAACGTCAAAGACTGTAAGTTATCAAATAGAGTATGCGCTGCGGTCAGAGACACATGCGGCGAATGGAAGACTGAGGAGGCGTAACTCGAATGGAAACTATTCAAGGTCAGTGAACAGGAAGATGACTTATATCATTTCCCTGGCCTAGTAGAGCCACGATGGAGGTTGAGCTTATTCCACACTAGTTAGTCAATAGAGCAAGGCGACTGAGAATGCAATGGCAATATCAAGGAGGGTTGTCTCGAGGGCGTGGGCGCCCGCGCAACGGTCCCATCGAGCGCGGCAGGCGTGGCTGTCGAACGTTCTACACCGTCCATGTGCTAGACAAACATGATAAATTGGTGGGCTGCTGTTGAGATTTTTCGTTCCCGAGCAATAGTCGCAGTCCCTTGACGACCCCTTGGCCAGGGTCTCGGGTTCTAATTGGTGCTAGCGGGTGAAAGGGAGACGCCCCAGCAAGAATTATTGGAAAGGGGTAGCGAGCGGTGAAATGCATGAACGGGTAGCTGTGGAGAGAACCGTGCGTAGGAAACATGAACACAAGTTGTTTTGGAGGATTCAAGTGTCTGAACCCGAGGGCGGGTTCCAAAGTAATAGGTAGAGTGCAAGTTGTAACTAGATGGGATGCGTTGGGTGTGGTTTGTGGCTGGCAGCTGGCGGGCCGCCAACCGAGCTTCTTCGCTGAACCCGGACCGCACATTTTTCCGGTGCCGGGCTTTGTAGTGTCCATTGGCGCCAATTGCTCGGCCATCATCATGGAAGGCATTCTTTGTGAAACACCGAGGCAAAATTATTCCACGACGGTCCCTTCATCAAACGGCTACCTGGGATGAAGTAGCACCTCTCTGAACCGACCCGGCGTTCGAATCTGTGCCGCGACTGCGTCGTCGGCCTCTGCGCCAAACCAGTCACTATGGGTGCCTGTCATTCATGTCTTGGGCAGCGGGACAAGGACACCTACGACGAGGTATGGCCGACATGACTACGGACGAATTGTTTTTGCGCAGTTGGCTTACCGTGAAACACCCAAAAATAGCAGGAGGAGAATAGATTATTATACGACGACGACAATGCCATGCAATACGGTAGCTTCGCGGAAGGCCACGGCGGTGACGACTCGGTCGAGGCTCAACGCGAGAATGAGGCTCTGCAGCAAGTAGTTGCGAAAACGTCGAGGTAAGGATGCGTGAAGAACTGGCACTGTTTAGGGAGATAGTTATGGGCCTGGATGGACCTGAGCAATGGCTCGAAACGTCCGTTTGTCGTTGAGACGCATGGCTAACATGCGGTGCCCAGTAACATGGTTGATATTTTCGAGATTGCGCCGCAACAGCCCAACGGCGGGCAGTCGACCGGATTCGGCTACGCTGGACAAGGCGCGCGAGTTGCACGTTACCAACACCTTGTATCAAAACTATCATCAGAAGATGTCGACCAGGCAGCCGGCATCAAAATCGACTGGTACACCGAAGACGACTCGCAAAACGAACGGCCCATGAGCCTGAAGACGTTGGATCATGACGACGGTGCGCTTGTCGGAACCTTTGCCGATGCAGCCGCGGCAATGAAGTAAGACGCAACCGCCGCGCATTTGCGACTATATTACATTTCCTGTACAATATTTATACCTTCCGTCAGGGAAAGATGGCGCGACGACACGATTCTCAAGCTTTTTTTTCTCTCGTCTTCATATTCGTTGTATACCACACAATTCAGTATTTATTCAAGCAGCAAAAATCCCAGCCTCGCGGCAAATCGCATCGATAGATTCACCGGGCCGACATCATCCTGCTCGTAGTACGCTTCAAGATTTTTTTCATGGCAAGCATCAATCGATTCATCGGACCGCAGCATTCAGCCTATAGTAGATTTCAAGACTCCTTCAAGCTTCAAGATTTTTTTCATGACAAGCATCGATCGATTCATCGGACCGCAGCATTCAGCCTGTAGTAGACTTGCAGCAACTGATTCAGCCTCGCGGCAAGCCATCGATACATTCATCGGACTCAACCTCGTGTCATCTCCTCGTAGCGGGCAACTTCAGCTTATGCCTTGAGTTTCGCTCCAGAAAACCACAAGAAACGAAGAATTTCCGGTACAAAGGCATAGCTGTTTAACAAAGAAAGGAATGTTAGATCCAGCTCCAATGATGAAACAAGCGATGGACGCGATCGGCGGCATGAAGACACCATCAGCGCTTGAAACGCATGACATCAAGACAACGACAGCAAGTGTTCAGTGTTCAGAACATCGATAATACATTAGGCGATTCGGCATTTCTTCACCGCAACATCATTTGCTACTTCAACTGCCGGACACGTGCGCAACAACGTCGGCGGAGCCGTTTAGTCTACTAGGATAGGCTCAAATCTCCAGTCACTAGCCCTGTTTCTTACGAAGCGGGCGACGGCTCGCACCGCTCATTAGTCGCACAAGTGGAATGGGGCCGCTCTATGGTTCGGACAAGGGGTGGACGGAGCCTCCCGCGCATCAACCAACCCCTCGGGCAGCATACCAGACAACCAGGACCAAATTGTCGGGATCGAGCCAGATTGGTGCCAGGTTGTCGGGACCGGACGCCGGTCGAGGTCAGCTCTGGATCACCGACCGAGATGAGAAGCGCTCCCGCATCTGGGACAAGGGCTTGGCGTGTCAGTTCTTCCCGCCTGGCCCCCGTCCCGCCGTTCTACGCCATCCCGTCAGCGGGGCAGCCCTTGTCCACCAAAGTCAACTCGTGGTGGCCTCCGTCTTTGGGCAGCACTGCCGCAGCAGTCATGCCACCAGTCGCCGAGGCGAAGCTTGACCAAGGACCTCTGGAACATCATTCTCCACCATGCGAACGAGCGGGTAGGGCAGCAGGGCGCGTCTTGGATGAATCACGGGGCGTCGAGCCGACGCACTGGGCTCTCAGTCACCGGGTGATGGCGGCGACAATTACGGAGTTTTGATGGGCGCAAAAAGCTTATTACTAGAACGGCGAGCGCGGTAACCTGTGCGCATTCAGCTCCCCATCACGGGTGAGTGCCGGCACCCTGCCTGCAGGCCAGACGTATGTCTGCGCAGCTGCTAGTACCGTAGTGGTATTACGGCGACCTTTTCAGGCAGGACAAGCGAGCAGGTCAGGCCCATGGGGGCTCGCTTGCGCATTCCAATGCTCGAAGCGGACAGTAGGATTGCTCACTGGGGCTGCTAAGCCCTATCAGAATTGCGTTCGGCTTCTCATGGACACTGTACGGTCACATTCATGCAGCGGCTGACTGCTCTTGAGACGACTCGACTCGCATATGCGGGCCTGCAACTAATTTGTCGACTATCCCTTTGCCCCAGACGAAACTTTTTAGCACCCGTGTGCGCATATGCAGCCTCCGCGTCTCCCAATTCACAATTCACAGCGCTTGGCATCGCACACAGACTGTGACAACTGGGGACACCACTGCTCGGCTGCCCTATTTTCCGGACCCAAGTGTGAATTATGCAGTCTGTGATTTGATTGTTGGTGCTACTGATATGAAATAACCTCGAGTACAAAGAAAACTCTTCGTCCAATTCGTCTCCCAATAACAAGATGCTTCGCGGTCTCGGCAGATGACTGGTCCATTTCGCCGACAACCCGCAACAAATCTGACCTGCTGGCAGAGCGTGCTCGGTTCCGCCGCCTTTGCCCGCTTATGCCACACATTTAGGTCGATCAATTTGGTCGGCTGGTGAGGGGTCACCACAACTTTTGTGAATTTTGTCCGTTACACAACTCGCATGCCGCGTCACTTGAGGAGAAATTTTGTCAGCCGCCCTGATCACTCGTGTACGTATGCAACCACGCAACATGAGATCGCTTGTCAGGCAAGGGTATTCTGGTGCGTACCTGTCCAAGGGAGGATGTTCTCTGATAATGCTCCTCTCTCATGCGGTAAATTTGATCCGCCACCTCTCGCATTTCTCCACATGTTCTCTCAATGGTTGCCCTGCGGTTGCCCTCGCGCTGCCAGCGCTCGACGTCGCGGGCCATCTTGTCGTGGCGTCGCTGCTTCTTCTCTATATCGTGGCAGAGCTTGCAGACGTCGGCCTCGCGTTTCGTATCATAGACGAGCTTGAGGCCGCAAGTCTCCCCCATGCGGTATTCCTTGTTGCATTGTTGACGAAAGTGGCCCCAGCGCCAGTAGCCACAGCTCCAGAGCGTCATCTCAAAGTAACACATGGTGAGGCAAGTATCGGCCGAAAGCGCAGCAAAGGCAAATCGAAGCGAGGAGAGGTACGGGAGGAGGAGGAGGGTGACGACTAAAAGCCGGCGAGTGGTTTAGCATGTCAGCCAGTCAACTTACCAGCAGAACCCACCCAGCGATCCTAGAGACGGGCAAGCACTTTTCAGGGTCCGCCTCCCAGGCAACTCTTGGGAAGGACGAAAAGGTACGAATCACTTACCGGTTGACAGGGGCAACAGAGAAAACACCAGGCTCTGGCCTAGAGTATGACAATATGCAGCGGACCGAACAATCTCTCGAGTCGAATTCGATAAAGCGTTGCAGTGCAGCGAAGCTTGAAGATATAGAACGACCGGTAGACAACGAAACAAGCTTGGGTATCCGAGCTAACTTATACTTGATCGAACAAAAGGCCACTTCAGCAGGCCCTCGCTCGTCCGCGTCTGGCTTGCATTGACTTAAGGCCCAACCCGCAGTGGGACTTCCGAGACCAACAATGACGGTTTCCTTTACTGGCCAACAATCGTCATCATTTGGGTATAGATTTTGCAAAAATAGAAAAAGAAAAAGGTCAAAGAGGCTTGTATACTTGCATTGGGTATCCGTACTTTCTGCCCCATGCTCTCTCTCTCCTGTCAACATCTTGCCCTGATGCACACACCCCCCTCCCCCCACTGAAGAACAACACGCACATGCGGCCACCTACACGACACGTTCCTGGGTAATGCTGCGGGTGTATAGTGTTGACCCAAGTTGGTGTCCAGGTCTTTAGCCCAAGACGCTGCAACAGCGTCCTTGGCCAGTCGTGCTAAGAGGTTGAGTGTGGTGCGGCTTGGGCAGACATCCACAAGGGGGCCGACGCCCCTCTGGTCGTTGCAATGACTCCCCGAAGTTCTGACTAGGAATCGACTCGTATGCTGCAAACTCGGACACAGATTCAGACGAGATGCGAATTCAACCATCTATATGAGATACGACGTTATGTCTGCATGTAGACATCATTGCAGCATGCAGAGAGATGCTTTCTCTGCACACCAATGCAAGGTTGCGCCCCAAGTAAACCCGGAAGAATTGTCAGAAGAGACAGGCACACACACGCACTCATACACAGGTACGCATACAGGCACACACACACAATCATTAGCAGGGGCGTGTTCCTTACGACAACATAGACGTGGCAGCGGGTCGTGGGTGCGCCTTTGTACAGATCCGGAATGCACACCACCACCTAGGCTTGTATTGCATGCACAATGCAGCTCAGCAAAGCAGCTGTGTTATTACCAGGGCTTGCTAGTGGCGCTGGCGTCCTACCCCTCTTGCTAGCATCCTCACTCTTCCACGGCAGCGCCGCCCAACTTCACCATACCGCAACGCGGATGGTCGAGCAGGCGGCCAGATCTGCGGCCCAGTGGGTCGTCGTGGTTCGTCTTGGGGCAAGAGGGAGGGAAGTGAGGGGGCTGTTATTTTTTTTAACCGCTGATGACGGGCATGTCTACCATGGCAATCTCGGTGAGAGCCGGGGCTGCAGTTTGGCTCTTGGCCCCCGAGCTGGTGGATATAATATCAAGGTGGCCTGAGACAGCACCGAACTCTGAGAGCGCCGAGCCCATCCCTCGCACCGCGCGGTACAACCACACACACACGCAGACACACACACACACATACGCAGACACACACTCTCTCACACACACACACACTCATACTGACAGATACTAACACCCTCGGAAACGTTGCGCCCGCACTCAAGAACTTGCAGCAGACTGAGGCGTCTTTTGTTTGTCCTTTCATCATTCTTGTTGCCATTTGCCTCTTCCATCTCGCAGCGCGGTTGCAGTGACACAAGACAGGGAATCATGGCATGGGTAGCGCAGCTCTTCGGCCGGACTCGAAATCCGCCCTCATATCCATTGGTCCAGACGGCGGCTCAGGCACTTCGGTAGCGAGCCGGGACCGTTGCGGCCCCCATCTCTCCGCCGTCGGTTGTTAGTTATTACAGTTTGTCTACGGATACCAGATTGCGATGCCGTGGTGCGCGGTACGCCTTGGTTGCCAACTTGGCTCGTTCTACCATCTACAACTCTAAAAAAGGACACGAGAAGGCTCTTGACTGTATTGCTGAGACAGGGTTGCCTTAAGTCCATTTCTACTACTGCCTATAACGGAAAGTCTCGCGGTACGCCGTACTATCAGCCCTGGAGCGCGACACAGAGGGGTGGCAACAGAAGCCTGACAGCGGCCGTCAGTGAGCCAGAGTCTATGGGGACCTTGTTTTGCAGAGCATAGAGCAAATGTGCATGCCTGATGCCTCACATGAAGGCACCGGAGGTACCGAGATGAGGATCCCTTGCCCACCTGATGTCCTCAGCAGAGGACTCGCCCCCGCCGGTACATCACTTTAATAGGAATGGGCCCCGACAAAGTGAGGCGGAAGACGTGGCACGAGCGGTGGAATTACTTGCTGTCATTCTACTGTCATGACGGCCGGCAAGCATCGGCCACGGTCTCACTGCATTCGTCCCCGGAAAGCCACAACGGGTTGAGAGGCTGCTGTGCTGCTCCCCGCCCCCTTGGTTGCCTTTTACTCCCTGCCTGCAACCTGGGTCGCGAACCCAGGGCTGCTGGAGCGACGGTCAAGTTCCCGGATGCTACTCCTTTACTCGGTGGCTCTGCAGCCATCCTGGTGGTTGTGGAACACCCTCCAAAAACGAAAAAATGATTTTACGTTGGAGCACCCCTCAGCCACTACGATCCTCCTGGACAAAAAGGAGTCCCAGCTGTTTCACACGACGCTTGACCCGGGAATTGAAAGAGGAAGGCGTGACTGCGACTGACAGCGGCACGTATCAAGATGTCCCGGTTGCACCGCATGAGGTGACCTGTTGAACGGTTGAAGGTGTGTGCCTATTCACGACTAGGTTTGCGCTTTCACTCTTCCCTTTTACCAACTTGGACGCTCGGCTACTTACTGAATCTGACTCCGCGAGGCTTTCTTGAGCATCCGCTATCATCTGAGACTAATCCTAACAGAGCAGCAAGACAGGTTCGGCAACGGCTGAAGACATTCCCCAGCGGGGAATGCACCCGCTTGGTCCGACAACTCGTCCCACACCTTCTAGCCTCCCTTTTTCCCATTTGGAGAACATTTTCATGCTCACACTCGATCCCCACTACGAATTTTTGTCTTGTTCCTCAACTCCGAGCCGCAGTAGTCCGCTTGGCAGATGTGCGGCTTGCATTCTGTCCCCGAACCTGAAACTAGGCGTCTTGTAGCCTGCGGCCGCTTCCATCACCGTGACCATTTGATTTTCGACAACGACAACAACATGCTTGGAAAATTTAGCCTTTTCATGGGCTTTGGGGAAGCGAACGAGTTGTCAGTTTGGGCCAAGGCTTCCGAGGAAGATACTGTTACGTGGCGATATCGGTCACAGGAACGGGCCGACCCGGAGTGTCGGTGTAATGCGACTTGGGAAGCGACTCCACGATTTGAGGATGGGAAGATTGAGCAATGCAATGACTGGGATCAGTAACCCCGTAATTTGGGGCTTTGCAGGGCGCTACATCTGTGAATCACGAATGGATTGCGCAAGAAGGCAAGGGTGTATGGGTCGCAGGGCTCTTCGCTTTCGATTGGTGGCTGACGACGGACGAGTCGCTGGAATTATGGCAGTTAACCCTGTCGTAGGCAGGCATTTTCTGACAGCCGCTGCAACGGTGTCTCTGATGACAATGGCGCATGCAGGAGTGGTGTATATCGATATGTACGATCGCCGAGACAATTCCATGGTACGGGCTTCACCAATCGTAACTCCTAGAGATTCAAGGTGACAGATTTCTATGCCGGCTTTCGAGTCACAGCACCAGCATACCACTGCCGACACAAATCGTACGGTAGAGTAACGCAGCGGGCCGCCGCGAGAATCGCCACCAAGTAGATCACAGTATTTTTCCGCTCATGCTTGGGGGCGGAACATGGGTACTATTGCTGCTGCAGATATACCCAATTGACAACGATGCAATAGTTACGTTTTCGATATTCTTAAGCGACGCCGGTACGTCGACTTCCGTACTGGGTTTAATTTACCAGTGAGACAGCGATTCGCCCAACTGCACTGCCTTTTTCTTTGTGCCAAAGCGGATCAGCGTGTCGGTCCCCCCTCCACAGTGAGGTGTCCAAGATATCACTGGCCGGCAATAATCTGGAACTGTGACAAGGCAAAGGATGGCCGCATGAAGAGAGACCGAGAAGTGGGAAGGGGGGGTGGGTGTGGTATTTGATCAGGTTTGGAGTTGCTCTCATGGGTCGCGTAAACAGGCCTCGTGTGCGTGGCGGCCGGGCGTAGAACACCGCTCGTTCGGGAAAGGAGCCAAGACAAGGCTCCAACCTAATGCCCAAGAACACGAGGCTGGGTATGACTGGATATTTTTCTCTTCTAGCCTCTCCTAGCCTTGTTGTTTGTTATTGTAAGTTGCGGTCAAGCTATCTGGGGAATATCGAAGCCCAAAGATGCGCCGGAGAGGAGCGTTCTGCAGACTGGGGCATACAAAGTGGAATATCTGATTTTGGCATCTTGGAGAATTGAATACATTGCTTCTCACCACATGACCTCTGAGACGGGCCGCTATGCAAGCACTTTGGCTGTGGGGGCGTGCATGCTGCCATGTAAGATGGGGAGCAAGTGATGTAGCAGCCTTGGTAAAGAGAGGTCTTTTCCGAAGTGATATTTCTACTCACATGGTAGACAGGCAACCTTTCTAGAATACACTTTATGTTTCTGGTGGGAAGATGATTATATGGAGGCCAGGGCAAGCCAGGGCTGGTGTGATGGCTTCCAGACAAAGGATCAAGTGTACACCATGGCAATAACAGTGAGAAGGTTGGGGGTTCAAAAGGCAGCAAAGGCGGTTTGGATATGGCCCAGCTCTATAGGCCGTTCATCATTGGACGTGTTCTTGGTCGCGACCCTCCTGGCGTCGGACATGCATATCCGACTTACAAGCGGAGAACATGGGCTTGGTTACGGAGAGTGAGTTGTCTTATTGCGCCCACCGGCGAACACTAGACGTATGGTTTGGACACGGTCTGTGAGATGATTTTGAACGTTGAAACTTGTTGCTCTGCTTCTACATGCTCTGTAGGAGTCACGGAACGTCAGTCTTCAAAACTGCAATACGGTACAGGGTAGGCCAACACATTGACGGTCCCGGCCGATCGCTTCTGATCGGGTTGGTGCCCCATTAGCGCCTAGCGTGATATTGCAGGCCGGCCGGCCCGCCTTTTGGCCGTATCTCGTAGCCTCTGCTCCTCCCCGCACACAATGCCAGATTTTCTCGCTCATGTATTCCTTGTCGCTGCAGGGCCTTTTTTACAGTGCTGCCTGACAAGAAAACCTTTCCTCTCCACTGGGACTTGGACGGTTGCGGTGCTGCGCTGCGCAGCGAGGCGCAGGTACCAGCGTTTGGCGGGCTGCGCCGCAAAGATGGCGAGCTAGCTGGGACTACACCTACTTAGGTAGTTACTAGTAATAACTTTACTAGTAATAACTTTACTAGTAATAACTAATCATTAAACTGGCTGGCGCGCCTCTCGGTTTCCCTCTTGGGCTTGCCAGCTGTCAACGGGCAGAACAAACGGACAAGCGAAAAAGGCCCGCATTGGCCGTTTGCTCATCGCTCGTCCCGTCTACATACAACATTTGGCCCTTTGATCTTGACCACCATGACGGCTTCATCCTCCGCGGCTGCAATCTAATCCGGCCTATCAAAACGATCGCTGCCGGCATCGTCCCAGGGCACATCAGACAACCGCAGGTTTCAGCGTCTCGGGCGACCCCACTCTCGGACGTGCGTCTTGCATCACTCTCCTCAAGCCCTGCGCCGTGAAACCTGGGGCCGATTCAGCGACATCTTGCCTACTCTTGCCCATGCCGAACCTCTTTTCTCTTTGCCCACCTGCACAATTCTTGCAGCTGCATCCCACTCGGACGTCTTCACAGCCTACAGCGTCCCTGTTTCTTTGTTCATCCCTTTTTCTCCTGGTCAACGCCGCGCTCCGCCAGGCGGCGCACACGGTGTTTGTGGCGGCCGCAGTCCCACTCCAAGGCATGGCCGCCCGGAACGGTTGCCTCAAAACCACCTTGGACAACCCGCGACCTCATACGACGACCGCCTTCTTGTCGTCGTTTGGTCGACTCGCCCAGGCCGAAACTGGAAAAAAACAAGACCCCGACTGTCCCGAAAAGGACCGTTAGAGCGACACTAGAAAAGGTAACAATTACACACCCAAAACGCCCGGTTCCCACCCGGTCGCTGCATCGGGCCTCACCAGTATCGGCTCCCGTGAATACCACAAATGGTCCGCAGCGTGCAGCCATCCATTGCCATGGATTCCGACAGTCTACCACCACTGCAGCCTTCCAACTCTCTTCCGACCGCCTTTAGCGACGAACAGCTCATGGACCAGCCCCGCAGCCTTGCTGTCTCTAATTGCCGTCGCGCTCACGCCCCCGCGGCCACGTCTCGACCGCAGCCAGAGCGTACGCCTCGCGACGATGTCGTTGCGACAGGGACCAGCACGCCGACATCAAAAGGTACCTGCCGCTCTTCTGATGCCCAACCTCCCTTGCCAGTCCACGGAGACTACCATGACGCCTCGGGCAGTGCATTTGGCCCCCGAGGTCTGGCTTACACCCCAGTGCCTCTATCACGTAACTTGGGTCCATCGGTTCGTGACCTTTCGCTGCAAACATTGCCAGCAGAGATAGTGATCCATATCTTGGGCTATCTTGACGTGTGCGACCTGCTGCCTACGTCTCGGGTGAGTCTTCAACGCACATCTCCGCGGTGCCCAAGAAGCGCCAGCAGCCCAATGCCACAGTTTCCATTTCGGTCGACTTGACACCATCCTCGTCTTGCGCCCCCCACACACAGACCGTGAATGTACGCATATACACGTTACTGACTCGGGCATCCGGCTGCAGGCATGTCGCTACCTGCGCTCTCTCTGCGCGGACCCAGTCCTCCACCAATACCGCCTCAGGCGCACTCGGTTCACCCTCCCCCCTCTTCTGGCCATGCACAACCGCCTCTCTCTGGAAGATCTCATAACCCGCTCCATATTCCTCACGCATACGTCAGTGGTGTCTCGAAAGCTGGCCCGGTCCCTAGTCTCCATACGCCTATCCCGTCGCCTCGCTGCTCGCCCCTCCCCGGAGGCACTAGTCCAGCGTGCAGTCCTACCCCCGGAATGCGTCCCCGGCATGGCCACTGTACACGTTGTCCCTGGTCTGGTGGCGAAGCGCAGGGCTATTGAAAAGGAAAGGGTCAAGGATGGTCTTCGAAGGTGGATAGCTGCCAAGTGGCGCGGGGAGGTACAAGTGCGAGAGGAGAGGGCTCGCTGCCGGGACGAAGTACGTGGCGTGGGCCGAGTTTGGCGACTTACTCGATTTTGGGAGCAGGTCGGCCGTGAAGAGCAACGTCTAGCAATGCGTTAGGCACCAATAATCTGTTTTTAGTTTGCCTCGACGAGCCTTTTCTACTTACACCTGGGTCTAGAACACGGGTGGTGTCTCGATGGAGTCGAACCGGATGGTTTCTTTCCCGAGTTTGAACATGCGGCGTCATGCCTTGACGATTAATGACTTTGAATACGAGTTTGCGAATACTATCTATTATATACACGGAGAGTAGAACTGCTCCTTCATTTGTACAATACAGCGACTCGCCCTCATTGCGATGTTTTCCCAATTGTAAATTCCAAACATAACTCCAAAATGTGTCAAAAATCCGGCCACCACCGTCTGTGAACAAGTCTATTCGGCGACGGCTGCTAAGAAGTAAACCGAAGGATCAATTTGCAGAAAGCAAAAACTCCATTATTTGCGGAACCGAAAGCCGTCCCAATCATCCTCCTCATCGTCGTCGTCGTCGTCATCCTCTCCCTCCTCATCCTCTACAATCGCCTCGGCCCCGTTTTCTGCAGCGGGACTCTTGTCGTCCCCATCAGGTAAATGACTCTGCAGCCTTGCAGGCGCGTTAGTCTGCCCTACACTCGACGCCCGTCGGCGCAGCTCCTCACGCTTCTCCTTGAGGCGCCTGACGCGCGCCTCCAGCTGCTGCATGTCGTCAAACTCGTCCTCGCGCGCGCGCGCGGCATCTTCGCGCTCACCCTCAATGTCGAGATCAGCACGGCTCTTGCGCGAGCCGCCGCCGTCACCCTCGCCGTCAGCGAGGGCGGCGGCGGCGGCGGCAGACTCCTCGGCGTTCATGGCGGGCGCGGAGATGACGGCGTCGTCGGCGTACGGGGCGGCGGTGGCGGCCATTTCGGCCTCAAACGCTGCCCACTCGTCCTCGTCGACCTGAGCGCCGCCGCCGCTTGAGAGCTTCTCGGTGGCGATGCTGCTGCTACTGCTCCCGTTGGGGGCCAAGGCTGCGGTACTGCTGGCGTGCGTGATGGCGGCGGTGAGCCCGGCGAGGGCTGAGACGCCGGGCGTCGTCGACGAGGACGAGTCGCGGTGGGCTGGCGTGGCTGGGCGGGAGGGTATTTGCAGCTCGACGCCGCGGGACGGTGTGGACGACATGCGTCGTGCCAGTGTCGGCGGCGTGCGGTTGGCTTCCTGGCGTCCTGGCAGATTCGTTGTCGAGGCGTCCTTGTCCTTGTCCATCGCACTACCCTGGCGGTGGTTGGCTGCTGAAACATCAATGGAAATGTCACCACGGTTGCGTTTTCTTCGCACAGCGTCGTCTATATCCATGGCGACGTCGCTGCCGTCTTCGATGTCGCTAATTTTTCGTTTGTGCGCGTGTGTCCGCGTCTCGGTGCCATCAGTGGCGTTGAGTGTCTTGTCATCCTCGTCGTCCTCGCGCTCCTCCTCCTCCGCCGGGCCCTCGGGGGCGTCGGCGTCATGTGTTTGTGCAACACCCGTCCCCCTTTCTGTCGCCGTCTCTGCGGTCTCCGACGGAGATGGCTCTGCAGCGGTCCTCGTGGCGGAAGCGAGAGCCCGTTGCTTGTGGGCTGTACTCCGGGTGTGCGACTCCCACTGGCTCTCAGCTCGTATTTGCTCGCGGCAAAGGGTGCACAGCAGCTTGCCTGCGTCAGAGTAGGCGGCGTGTGGGTGGTCAATGCGACGTAATTGTCGCTGCTGGCGTAGCAGCGCTCGCACGTCGGCCATTTTGAAGCGTGATTTGGTTGGAGGCGAGAAGAAGCGTCGAGGAGCACAGAGTCGTGGAGCTTCGTCTGTACTGCCACTAATGCATCCATGTGTGCACCCAAGTATACGAAGCATTTGCACCTCGACCCCGTTGGGTTCCTCGCACCAAGAAAAAAAGTATAAAAGGTCAAAGGTTAGACTCAATTCCATGCACTGTAAATTTTCAACGCAAAAAGTCGAGGGCCGAAAAGTAGAGAGGTTGGATAGTTAATCATCGACTTGCAAGGATGGAGAGCTCTCACCGCCGCAATTTAACCGGAGTGTTGCACACACCATCTCCAGGCTCCCAGGACCCAGACAGCCCACTTCCCATTCCCATCATCTTGAACCCGACTCTCGACTACCACCCATCTGGATCGTCAATCTCAGATGACGATGCGAGTCGTCTGTTCGACACTCTTCTAGCGGATATCATGGAGGAACAGGAGGCCGTCTCGTTGTCGTCAACATTTCCAAATCCGCCGCCGTTTTGGAGAGACTTTACGCCTGACAAGATAGCTCGCTACGAGCAAGTTCGAGCAGAGCACGATGAGGATGACAACGAAAAAAATACGAATGGCGAAGGCTACAGACCACCGACCAGAATCAATAACCTTCCAGAGGAGTTGACCTACCTGCAACCGCCCGCAGAACCCACCGATGGGCGATGGCGCGTATTTGGCGACCAGTACATGGTACGAAGCTAGGAATCGTCAACTCTCTGCGCTCAATCAAACTAACCAGGATCTCCCACTCTTCAGCTTAACGACCAGTTACCGACGCTCGAAGAGCAAGGCATTGCGAATCTTCCAGCCTCTGGCCAGTCGAGCGCCAAAGATGCCAAACACTACGATCGCGCGTTCGAGCTCAAGCGTCTGTCCAAGTCGCTGCTACTCAACTTTCTCGAGCTTACCGGCGCACTGGCGCGGAGCCCTACACATGCCGAGGCCAAAGTGCAAGACCTCCGCACGCTCTTCATTAACTTGCACCATATTCTCAACGAGTATCGTCCGCACCAGGCTCGCGAGTCGGCGATTGAGATGATGCAGGACCACCTGGACCGCACGCGCACCGAGACTCTCGCCATACGAACACAAGTCGACAAGGCGAAACGCCTCCTGGAGGGCTTGGGCAGCCTTAGTCTGGTTGATGGCGCGACTACGGGGGCTGCTGGGGCCGTCGCGCAGCAAGCGGCCGAACAGAAACACGGCACCGAAGCTACCAACATCATAGACGTCGACTGGGAAACAGAAAGACAAACATGGGCCTGTGTGGACGACTTGTTTTCCTGAGCCTGATTCGGAAGAGACAGGGTAAAACAACTCGCAAAATCATGGGCTGCGTCTGTACTACGGAATGACCAAGCACCTGAGCGCCACGCCCGCCGCGACGGCAGCACAGAGCTGGTCATACCATAATGTCGCATAATTGCGCGAATATTCACGCATTTTACCAGCCCCGAATTACATCCATGTCACAGAAGATAAACAGGTGACTGCGCAAGTAGCACAGCCAGTGCCAGAGGCAACACGCAGGCTCCACGGCAAATGAACACCCGAATTGACAGATGATCTAGTGCTACCATGATTAGCAATATATTCGCTACGCTGAGGAGGCTACAGAGGCCCCCAGCGCTGTAGGCTGGAATGCTTAAATATAAGATATATTAGTACCATTTGACTGACGCCACCTAACTTGTCTCGGAATATGACTCTCCCGCAGGCGAGCAGCGCTCATTAGTTTGAGGAGCCTGCCCGTTGTCCAAGCCCGCCGCCATACATCCACAACAGTACCGTCAGTGACACGCAAATGACCAAATAACCGTGTGTTTGACCACCCATACCCTAGCACACGATACACCGACGGCGCGAAGAGTGGGAAATGAAAGGCTGTGAGACTCTTGGAAAACTGCGTCGCGCCCATGGCACTGCGCACTGCTTATACGGTCTCCGCATGAGCCGATGAGATAAGCACTGACCGATCTCTACCGACTGGCCGTACTGGCGCATCTAGAGCTCAGAAACGTCCATAGCACAACGTAAAGGATGCCGTAGTTGACGATGCCCTTGACCGACACGGCCTGGATGATTGAGTGGCACACAAGCAGCCGCGTTGGACGACTGACGGTGAGCCAGACGAGTGCCAGTCGGACCGCACGTCAATGAAGCCAGCAATGATGGGGCCTGCGATTCCTCTCGTCAGCATTCCAAGAACTATTCATATATCCTTCATCCTTGCGCGCGTACCGACACCTGCGCCGAGCAGCGGAGTCATCAGGTAGACGCTGAGCGGGCGCCTACGTTGCTCCAGCAAGGACGCCCGCGCCGAGTGCTTAGATGGTGCTGGCGCGCCAAACCCCGCGAGGAAGCGCGCCGCGATGAGCGCTCCTTCGTGCGCGCGAAGCTACGCCGACATGCTTAGAGCAGCCTCGGCCCGCCCCATGCGGAGCTCGCACGCAATGCCGGGCAGCGCGGGCGGACACCATGATGCGGTTGAAGCCAGTCGCGAACAGCACGTCCGTCACCACCCACTTCTTCCCGGCGCGCCAGTTGAGTGGGTTGGCGGCGTCGTACGCCAGGTCAAAGGCGACTACTGCTGCTGCTGCCCGCTGGTCGTCGTCCGTGCTGCTGTGCGCGAGTACGCCACTGTGGGGGCCATCGGCGGCGGCCCAGGCGCGGGGGCCGGACATGATGGCAGCTTCGATCCGGTCCTCATCGCAAAGGGCCATACTGTGCGAGAACATTGTAGTTTTCGATACAAGGCTGAAGTTTTGAGATGATGAAAAGATTTTCGGGGAAAAAAACCCTCGCAGAACTGGAGGGGGTGGAAAAGAGAACCTGGAAATTCTATAAAGATCATGGATCGTTGAACGCAACGAGGCTGCGTTGGCCATGGGTGTGATTGGACGCCGCAATGCGTAGTGGCAGGATCAGATAATCAGATAATAATTATCAGATCCTAGCTTCTCACCAGTCGAGTGCCGAGCGCCGTCAACTTTTACGGAAGAGGGCGACGCTGGAGCAACAGCATCCCACTGCTTCCAGAATTACAAACCGAGAACGAGAAATGACGTGCTTTTGCCTGGTCCAGAGACTTTTTATCAACGAGATGGACTACAACATTTCACGGCGTGAACCAGATTTGATCGAGTCAGCACAAGACTAGACACAACTGAGAATGATAAACACGTAATTTTTTTTTTTTAGAATGAAGCCCCTTAAACCAGAAACCCTTCCCTTCCCTGCTAACGCCAAGAAAAAAGACGAGCAGTATCCTGTTCGAGTCCTCGCCGTTGAAGCACTAGGTCAGCAAATAATAATAATAATACACTACAAGGCAGACGCTTATACATCTCGACACGAAAAGACCCTGACAGAAAAGAGGAGTTAATCCACCAGATGAGCTCAAAAGGCTACAGTGTCGCTCTCATCGACAGGTTCGAGCTAAAGCCTTTACTCAACCCTCAGAAACAAATCTCAAAAAGTCGATATTAGGGCTGCTTCGGTCCTCCTTCCTTTTCCAGCAACACGCTCAAGTACTGCAGATCATCGCGCGCCCTGGGCTCCCGCTCGTAGACGGACTTGATAATCTCCCACTCGCGGCGTGCCATCTGGTGCGCCTGGGGCAGCAGAAACTGCACCGTGGGTACCTTGACAAAGGCGCCAAGGACCTCGCGAGCCGTTTGCTCGGCGGCCTGCTGCGCCTGGACCTTTTGGGCCTCGGTCATCTGAGCAAACGGCGGCGGGGGGCTGGTCAGGTTCGAGGCATTGGGCGGCGTTGGCGCGGGCGGCAGCGGGGCGGCCGCCAGGTGCGACGGGATCGGCGTGGCGAACTGGCTGGGCGTGGTACCATTGTTGGAAGGGGAGCCGGCGAAGCCGCCGCGCGGCGTGGCGGGGGAGAAGCCGGGGCCGGGTATGGAGTTGCTCCGCTGCGCGTATCCCTCCGTATTGGGCGCTGAGGCTATGGCAGGCGTCGAGGGGGAAACGACTTGTTCGTCCTGGGGCGCCAGGGTCTCGGAGGGCTCGTTGCGGTACACAAAGACGGCCAGCAACAGGGGTTCGGTGCGCGTCTGAGGGATGAAATTGTCGACCAGGTTCAGCATGAACTCTGGGTGATTGTTCTCCCCAGGCGGGACGGGCACGAGATATGTATCACGAACATTGCCTGCCGCCTTGTTGCCGACGACGCCATAGCGCTTCTTGCTCACAAAGTAGTCAACCAACGCGTTGTATTCCGGCTGCGCTTCTGGAGAGGTTGGGGCCAGACCGACAACGACAATATCCGTCAGGTTGCTGTACCGAAGGCTGCAGAGATACTCGATGGCACTCTGCTCCGTAATGCGACCGGCCACAGTCATGCGCTTCGGTATCAGCTTGGACCAGTGCCCCAGGTTGGCAAAGTTGGCGCCACCCACATGCTTTCCCGTGGCTTGAAAGTCGGCGATGGAGCTCATGGCCAGCGATCCTCTCCAGACAATGTCGGGGTCTGTTGAGTCTTCGGTGGGCGAGTACGGCGGTGAGTCGTTCTCGTCTTCCAGCATCCGGTCGACGTCGGGGTCGAAGCCGGGGCCGGATGTGTTGAGGACAGGCGCTGATGGACGGCGACGCTGCGCTTGTGTCGGTGACTTGACTTGTGAAAAAACCTCAGAGATGTCAAATTTAGACTGGCTAGGCGAACGTTGATCGTCCTGTTGCTTGGGGGACTGAGCCATGTCGTAGTCGGTGCTCAAGGACTCTCGCTTGATCGCTTGGCTTGGGTCCGTGGCGGCACCGCGTCGAGCACCTCCTCCACGAGGTATCGGAAGCTCATTCGTAATCGCGAGACTCTCATCTTCCACCACTTCCTCACCCTTGTGCGTTCGTCGAACGCGGGGTCCCGTATCCGCTGTGTAGAGGATGGACTGCTTCTCTGCCTTGGCCTTCATCTCCGCGGTCTGCTTCTGCATCTCTGCAGAGGCAAGTTGTTCCGATGTCATCACGGCCAGCCCGGCCGGAGAATGGGTCTTTTGAACCAAGCCTTCAACAAGTTCTGGATTATTCTTGAGGTTAAATGTGAGCGACTTGATCTGCTGATTATATTCCTTTTGGCCTTTGGTGGCTGGGTGGGTGTCAAACACGGCGCGTTCGATCTGGAGGGCATTTGTCTCTGACATGCTCTCTGCGGAGCTATCTTTGGGAATCTTGACAGTCTTGTTCTTCTCCATTGACGACAAAACGTGTAAAATTGACTTTCTCAAGGCCCTGGCTGGACCGGCTCTGGTAGCTGGCAACTCCGATATGGCGGTGGCTAAGTCGGCCGGGGGTGTATATTCAACGCCACCTGCGGATGATTCGTTTGCTGGCACGCGTCGCAACTTGGAGTTCTGCGCCTCGATTAGTAGACAGTTCAAAGGGAGAGAAATTTCGGTACTACATGCCTTGGGCTCGCCGTCCTGCGAGTCGTCCCGCGACTTCCGTTTGCCTGGCCGTCCTCCAGATTCGCGTCTCTCTTTTGCTGAAGCATCTGGCGCTGGTGATGCCTTGGCCTTGCTGCGACCGTCTTTTTCAATATCGTCCTTTGGATCACTTGCACGCTTCGCCTTGGGCTTTCTACCGCCCCTCCTCTTTCTGCTTGCCACCTCTTCCTCATGGGCCTTGCGCCGGGCGATCCATGGCTGCTCTCCCTTAGCAATGCCGTCCAGTAGCACTTTGTGCTCCTGCGGGCGGCACTGCTCGCACCAGTAGTACTCCGGGATCTCATCCTCGTATGAGCTCACGCCGACGCAGACATTGTGCTGCCACGCGTAGCATGTCTCGCACGAGATCCAGGCCTCGCCCGAGTCCTCGTCCTGCTCCGTAGCACCACAGACGCATCGGATGATCTCCTCTGGTTCTTGGGACTGCTCCTCCTCGTCCAGGGCCTTCCTGGACTTCTTCGTTTGGCGTCGTTTCGGGACAGCGAGCTGCTCGAGTTCGTCGAAGGACTTTGTATGTTGGCCCTTGGTCGCGCGCACTGAGCGCCTCGGTTCGGGTTCGCCTGGGGAGCAAGAGTTAGCATGAGTTGCAAGAAGAGGCGAACCAGGTTGCATGATGTCGCGCGACACACCGCGCCCGCGTGCCATCTCGGCGCGCGACGTCGCGCAGCGGACTGGGGTATTGGGATGATTTATGGCTTACCAGACATGGCTACTGTCCAGCGCAGCGCGATGTGCTGTTGCAGGAAGCGCGCCTGCGATGATATTCTACTGTTTATAGGTACCTGGTCCAACAGGTATGGGTCGGTTTACGGAGTAGGCAGACTTTAAACAGAACTAGACGCGCGAAACTCTCCCCACGCCACGAAGTGCAACGGTCCGTGTCTATCTTGAGGCTTGCAGTAGAGGGATCGCGTGGGCCGGCGCAAAAACAACCAAGGTCGCGTTTGTGGCGAGCGCGCAGCTCTTTGGAGCGGTCCCCCTTTGATTTTTTGTGCGTGGGCTAGGAAAGGCTGCCCCCGTCTGCGTGGTTATTAGGCCTGGAGATGGTCACGCCGCAATTGAAAGCCCACTTTTCGTATAAAAAAAAAAGAGGATGGAGAGGGGGGAAATGGGGAGTGTGTAAGAAAAGGTAGAGGGCGAGGGGGCAAATCAACAGGAAAACTCCCGTGATGGTCGATGAGTATGTAGATGTGATGATGATGAGGGTGGCGAGGGGGAGAAAAGCTGGCAAGGTAGGAATTCGAGCGATGGCAACATATGTCAGGTTTTGGGGTGGAGGCTCCAGCAAAGTAAATTCTGATTTGGCAGGTGCCAGCCGGCAGCTAAACAAGAGGTGAACGCGCAGGAAATGGAAACTTCTGGCTGCCTAACAGATCAGGTTAGATTTTGTGTAGCACAAGTAATAAGCTCCGTTTGCTTAACTTAGTAGTGCACTAGTGCAAGCTTGCTGGCTGACTAACGCCGGCAAATTATCGGCTAGACTGTGTACAAGCTGTACTAGTTACCTCTGCCAGCAGTCCTCACAACGAGCTACGCGGCGGCCGTGCCTGGAGCTTGTAATCAGCCGTCCCATCACCCTGAGCTTCGAGGTCCTACCGATTGGCCCTTTGCAACACATCACCATCATCATCGTCCTTGACATTGGTTCGGTCGCGCTATACCTTCCCGATCCACGCCTAGCTGCATCTATTCGTAGTCGCTGCGCCCCCGAGACGCCATCACCATGTCTCGTCGCTACGATTCAAGAGTAGGTCGCCTGCCTCATGTCACGGCTGTATCAAAGCTTCACTAGCCTGACCACTATCCTCCAGACGACTATTTTTTCGCCCGAGGGCCGACTCTACCAGGTTGAATATGCACTCGAGGCCATCTCCCATGCCGGTACCGCCATTGGTATCCTGGCAAAGGACGGCATCGTGCTCGCTGCCGAGCGCAAGGTCACATCCAAGCTTCTCGAGCAGGACACCTCTGCCGAAAAGCTTTATGTTCTCAACGAGTACGTTCTCATGAAGCCTCAGCCGCGCTATTCCAAGTTTCCCCAACCATTGACACCCCGTTTGTAGTAATATGATCTGCGCCGTCGCTGGCATGACCGCCGATGCCAACATCCTCATCAACTACGCCCGCCAAGCCGCCCAGCGCTATCTACTCACCTACAACGAAGACATTCCCTGCGAACAGCTCGTCCGCCGACTTTGCGATCTCAAGCAGGGCTACACCCAGCACGGTGGTCTCCGACCTTTCGGCGTCTCCTTCATTTACGCCGGTTACGACCCTCGCAGAGAATTTCAGCTGTACCTAAGCAATCCTTCAGGCAACTACGGTGGATGGAAGGCCACCAGCGCCGGAGCCAACAATGCCAGCGCTCAGAGTCTGCTGAAGCAGGATTATAAGGAAGACTGCACACTGCAGGAGGCTTGCGCCATGGCCGTCAAGGTCCTGAGCAAAACCATGGACTCCACAAAGCTGAGCAGCGAAAAGAGTGAGCATCCCCAGCGCTAGTCATTGTGTTACTCTCCATGCTAATATGCTACTAGTCGAGTTTGCCACAGTAGGCAAGTCTGAGGACGGCAAGGTGTACCACAGATTATGGAGCGCAGATGAAATTACTGCTCTTCTCAAGGAGCATGATCTGGCCAAGAACGAGGAGGCCGAGGAAAAATAAATACACATTGGAGGGATTGGGCTGATAGATATGAGGCAAGACATCCTTGAACTATGTATAACAAACATGACACAAAGGCCTCTAAATGATTACATCGTGATAATGAGCTAGCTCCGGCTACTACCCCCCAATTGGTCCATTTCAAATGCTGCGTCCTCGGTCCCAGCCTCCTCATCGCGGACCCGTTGCCAGGCTTGATTATCAGTGCCGGGCGGTGGATATGGTTGTGCGCAAAGAGGACTGGTCAGTCGAGGCCAGTGCCTGCGGTAACTCCAGTAGGCAACGGAGAAGCCGAGGATCGACCCGACGCAGACATCGTACACATCGTGGCGATAATCCTCGCATCGTGAAATAGCAATGAGGGCCGCTCCGACGAGCGGGGTGATGCAGAAGAGGGCGCGGCTGAGATCGCGGCCGCCCGTGGCCGTCCGAAAGATTTGAAACTGGCCCGCAAAGTACAGGCTCACAAAACCGAGTCCCGCAAAGGAAAAGGACGAGTGACCAGAAGGGAACGATCGCCACCCATCCTGCAGCTTGTGTCCATCAGCAGTGGTGCATACATCAATGGTGACTAGCGTGTGAGGTTTGGTTCCGGCCCTGGGGTGGCATCGGTCCAGCAGGTCGGGCCGCGGTCGACCGACCGCATTCTTGATGACATCTGTCAAGAAGAGGGTCAATGCGACTGAGATGAAGAAGGAAAGATATGTGACTTCGTGCTTTGCGGCGGGCGACCGCATGATGACGTTGTAGGCAATAAGCACGCCAAGTGGAATGAAGAATGCGTAAACAAAGTTCATCACTAATACGACCTGTTAGGAGAACACAAATGACAGCATCAAGGGTACATTCTGACCAACGGTTACACGCTCATGTTCAGCGTGCGGAAACGAGATTTGCAAATCATCAACACTAAACATGCGATGAAATGGTGTCACGAACAGGACGAGCTGGTAGGGTTAGAGTCGCGTGCCCAGAGAGATGGGTCGGAGAGCAGCTTACACATATCCAACCGGCCAGCAGCAGAACAAACCCAACATACTCAGGCGCATGCGATGTCTAGATATTAATTCGGTCAGCGTTGGTCAGGCGTGATACCGTGACATGGCCATCTTACCATCCACAGCCTGGCAAAGGGCGTTGACGGGATCCGGACTGGACTGGACGTGCTGCGCAAAGCCATTCTTCTGAATATCCTGGGAGGATTCTGGTAGTCATCAAATTTGGATCCGCCCTCTACACCAAGAAGCTCGCACTCTGTCGCTGAGCCGGCTCCTCCGGATCGTGTTGAGGCAGAGACGTGTCAAGTCAGGGTGAAGTACAAATTAGCAGCGCAGAGCTCAGGTGTGTTGTCGCAAGACAGTGGCGCACCAACCCCACAGACGTTTTGCGAGGTAGGTAGGGAGGTAGCCAACGGATTGCGCTCAGACAACTAAATAAGTCGATGCTATTTGTGGCTACGAAATCCCGAATTGTATATTTTTAGTATTATTTACACATATAGTATCAATGGTAGTCGCGCTGGTTGGTCCGTCTATGAGCAACACCACCGATGAGTGATGCTCTGGCTCCACCCGAAACCCGCCCAACCAGAAGCTTGCATTTTATTTCGTACGAGGTACCTCATCTTCATCTGCGCCTGCCATTCAAGCCCACCACACTTCTTTATCTAGCAGCGGCTACGCCAAGCACGGCCGACAGGGAGGGAAAGGAGTCACACTTCGCTTGCGATGCTCAAATCAACATACGTGCCGTCGGCGGCAGCGGCAGCAAGCAGCGCGCCATTGCCGCCGGGCTGGACAGAGCACACGGCGCCGACGGGACATAGCTATTACTACAATGCCGAGACGAAAGAGTCGACATACAAGCGTCCAGGTGCCCCTCCTGTTCCCGATCCGGTACCGCAACATCAGCAGCCATATGCGCCATACGCGGGAATGCCGTCGCTTGCCGACCCCAGAGTTGCCAATGCGTTTCTCGCCCAGCACAACCGATCAACACAGCAGCAGCAGCAGCGCCAAGACCCTGCCAAAGGTGCAGCACGACCGCGCCCACAGCCAATAGACAAGCCCCGGAGAAAGGTTCCCATTCCGGGCCACGAGCCGTGGATCGTCGTGTACACCAAGTACTCGCGGCGCTTCGTCTACAACTCTGCAAAGAAGGAGAGCTTCTGGCGCATTCCTGAGAAGCTAATGCCTGCCATTCTTGAAATGGACAAGAAGCGCATACAGGAAAAGGCCGCGGGCGACGAGGATGCGGCTGAGGAGAAGGACGGTGATGCTGGTCATGGCTCCGAGTACGAGGAAGTGGAAGTGACAGATGACGAGGGCCAAGGAGATGACAGCGTCGCAACACATCCCAACAAACGACTACGAACTGACGACGAAGCCGACGTTGACGAGCACCAAGAAGTAGAAGATGAGGCAGAGAAGGAAGCTGGCCCACTCGAATTCACAGAGGACGACATTGCGATGCAGCTACAAATGATGGGTGAGGACTATGGGCTTGAACCGGGCGAATACGACGATGGGAACACGCAAGACTGGCCCGAAGGCGCCGAGGGTCTCGAATTTTCGCAAGAGGACGCCGAGCTTCTCTTCACCGACCTGCTCGACGATTTGCGCATCAACCCGTACAGCCCCTGGGAGAAGCTGCTTGAGGACGGCCACATCACCGAAGACCCGCGCTACACGGCGCTACGCACGACCAAGGCGCGCAAGGCGTGCCACGACACGTGGTCGCGCTCGCGCATCGCCCAGCGGCAGGCGCAGCGCGCTCGCCAGATCAAGCAGGATCCGCGCGTGGCGTACCTCGCCCTGCTGCAAGACAAGGCCACGCCCAAGCTGTACTGGCCCGAGTTCAAACGCAAGTACAAAAAACATGACGCGATGCGCGACGCGGCCCTGCCGGACAAGGACAGGGAGAAGCTGTATCGCGAGCACGTGCATCGCCTCGCCATGTCGGCGGCAGCGCGCACGGCGGACCTGACCGCGCTGCTCAAGGCGCAGCCCGTCGCGCGACTCAACAACACCTCGACGCACGACCTGCCAAGCGCCGTCCTCGCCGACCTGCGGTACATTTCGCTGCCGCCCAGCGTGCGGGATCCTCTGGTTGAGGCCTTTGTGCAGAGTCTGCCGCCGCCGCCCTCGGAAGACGGCGAAGCGGGCGGACAGGAGCAGGAGGCAAACGAAGAGCGCAAGCAGGCGCGGGAGAAGCGCGAAAGGGCGCTACTGGAGCATAACCGTGCCGTGGATGAGCAGCGCCAGCGGCGCGCGCGCGACGTCGCGGCGAGTAAGGCCAGACTGCGTGACGGCGAGGAGCGCTTGGATCGGGCCATGAAGGTGGACAAGAGGGGCCTTCAGGGCCAGCTGGCGGCCATGAAGGTGGACGGGACGCGGCCGCCAGAGGAGGAGAGCTAGATTTTGATACCAATATACCATAGAGAGGAATGAGTTCCGGACCAACAATGGTAATTCTGCATATGTGACTGTAGCAGCGGAAAGGATCGTCCTATATAAAGTCGGGGTGGGACTTTTTCTTCCCAGTAAATTGTCCTCGCTGGAGCTACCCTGTGTTTGTGTTGGAGCGTTTTCGCAGCCAATTCTACGCTTTCCATGCCATTACAGGGTGAAACTGCCTTGGGAGAAGCATGCAGTTCAAAACGGAAGAGTCAGAGAAGGAAAAAATTTAGAGAGTTTATTTGGAATGCGTTTTGCTGTATGACAATATTGTTCGCGGCAAGGATCTTCGTCAGTTTCCGCCCATCTGATCTACCCTATTGATTTTCATGAGCGCGCCGGCGCCTTGCACAAACTGATAGATTGAATTCCCCTGCAATGCGTTGGATTTATACTAGCGCCAACCAAGCGCCCAATTTTGTACCCAAAACAAGTTGCAACTGCTCCTACCTACTGCATCTCTCATAAACGTGCATACGAGACGAGGACATCTCTGACTGACCAAGAAGAATAAAGAAACAAAATGCTCACTACACAACTATATATATAAATGTTGTACTGTTAGGGGGGAATCGACTATAGCAAAGCAGATAACAATAGAGAAAAGAAAAGAGTCGGGTTGGAGACGTTTAGCGGCTGGATGCGGCGTCGTCTCTCGGCCCTCCTAGCGAATATATGCACCGCGGATCCATGCTCTTTGCAGCCCCCTTTGTAAGTGTGTAAATATGTAAAATATTCGAATCATGTATCCCAAAGAAAACACCTAAGAAACAGCCTCAAGTCGTCATCGCATGCGTTAATCGGCTCTTTCGTCCATGTATGTGCCGTACATGAACCAGTCATCGTCCATCCAATTGACAAGCTCGTTATACAGCGCCGGTTCTGATTCGATAGGCATCGGCGGCGGCTGGGGTTGGGGGAAGCTGTTGGTTAATCCCAGTGCCGTTAGGTGGGGATTGTTAATTTGGGGATTGATGTGGACAGGAGTGGTTAGTCTTGCCACCAGCATCTGCAGGTCCTGTAGTGTCTCGGTGCATGATTTGTCTGCTGGATCGCTCTTCAAGCGCTCGCAGCCTTGCAAGACTTGGAGAGCGAATTGAATATCGGCGCTCCTGCTGACACTCTGCTCCGAAGACACACTTTGCTGCGGGTAAACCAGGGTTTCCAGTATCAGACACACGGCGGCGGTGAAGCAATAGTGCAGCATGGCATGGAGGGGCTTCGGATGGCGGTTAATGGTCATGAAGTGACGGGCAAGCTTAATGTTATTGCGCGCAGCGTCAATACACAGCCTGAGATGGGCAAGTTGTATATTGTACTCCTTTGAGCTGCCCTGGGGTATGAGGCGCTCCGCAACTGACTTCTTGACCGCGATGAAGAAAAGCGGACGCGTAGCGATAATGATGAGTTGGTTGTATCGCATGTGCAACATGGCGCAAGCTGGGTCATTGCTCAAGCCGTCTGGCGACAGCTGCAGGCGCAAGGGCAGGGTGCTTTTCCACTGCTCCAGCATCCACATGACTTTTCCAGGGCTCTGTGAAGAGTCGCCGGAGCCGTTGATAGAGTCCCAAGGAGCTATTCGATAGGTGTTGCAAACGACGTAACCGGAGATGCGTGAGAGTTCGACGTGGGCGCGCAACCCGGCGGCTGGTGGCATGCCACTACGGGGGGTTAGTTGGTTTCTTGACGGCGGTTGGTGGATTCAACTTACGCGGCATCAGAGGGTAGCGGGATGCGAATAGCGTCGTCGGCGATGACGGGCGGACGGCCCATCAGGCAACTGAGCCATCTGTCCAAAATATAAACAGTCCAGAAAATGCGCTTGCCTTTTTCGTCTACCCAGCCACGGTGTGCTCCGAGCATGATGCATAGGTGGGAGGCAGCTGCAATGTGCATGTAAGCGGAATCTCGCTTGCAAACCTCGACGAGATGATATGCCATGAGTGCAAATGCAGAGACGTCCTGGATAGAACAGCGGCCTATATCGAGTGGGTTCCGCAGCAGGACGGATGCTCTCGCAAAGAATGAGTCGCTAAATTTGATGTCTTCTGACTCGTCGATTGGGGGCCAAGGGCCGGTGCTATGGGCGGCAATAGCGAAGGCAGCATGAGGGAAAGCCAGCAATCGACATGCGTCCAGATCCACGGGCGGTTGATTCTGAGGGATAACCGGGGGTGTTGGCGGTTGGCTCAGGTCGCCAAACCAGTAAATACCACCGCTAGGCCAGGTGCCATTGCCATCCTGGACGACATACCTGACTTCTGAAAGCATAGAGACCATGGAGCTTGGGGGTGGAAGTAATAGCGGATTTACATCCTTTTCATCGAGCGGACGAGAGTCATCCGTCGCACACTTGCCGAGAGTGGACAAGAAGGCGCTTCCATCGTGGGGAGCAGGTTGTTGATGGTGTGCAAGTGGCAGCACGGCGCCAATGAGCTCTTTGAGATGATCTAGGAAGGTGGCGCCACTGGTCTCGCCATGGAATCGGGCGGTGCCGGAGGCGTCATGGAGGAGCCGGCCGGTCGTGTGGTCGTCATCTATAGGTTCGGATTTGATGATGGTGCTCTGGCCGGAGACGCTCGGGGCAAAATGATTGCTGGCGGAGAATGGGCTATGGACTGGCGAAGTGGTCGAGGGAGGGCTCCCGGCAGCTTGCTGCAGTAGCTCGTGTCGTTGGGCGGGGTCTGGAAGGGCATCCTGTAAGGCTTTTTCGTAAAGCTCGACCTTTTTCTTGAGGTCATCGAGTTCCGACTTGGAGACGGAGACTTTCTCAACAGGCGAAGGGTATATACAATCGCGGTTGGCGGAGGCGCACGAGGCGCATGGTCTCTCGCCGGAGCACTTGATGCGCCGGACATTGCAGCTATTGCATCTGGAGACGGGGACAATCAGGCATTAGGAAATTGACTTGGAAGGAAAGACCAACGCGTTTAGTGGAAGGAAATTGACGTACGCTTTGGCCACGCGTTTGCGTTGCTCGGGAGCTACTTTGTGGCGTCGAGGGTTGACGGGAAGCCTCTGAGAGGGCCGTCGCTCACCGTCGATCTGCATGGATGGACAGAGGCAAAGACGATGCAAGAGCCAAAACTGAGGCCCCAAGAATCACTTTTGCGAAAGAAGACAAGGATGGCTTCACGAATCGGCAGAGCAGCGGTGGTCGAGGCGGAGGAAGGGCGCGCGGCGGGGTCCGCGATGAGTGAGACGGGGGAACTGATTCGAAATTTACCAAGGCGCAGGGGCAATGTACATGCTGTCAAGGGATTGAGGGAATGAAATCGTCCATCATGAGCCTACCTAGAGCAAGGCTGGTGTTGAAGAGGGCGAGGGAGCGGCTAAGACCGAGGGCGGCCGAGCAGGTGTGCGGTACAAGTAGTGCAACGGTGAAGCGAGGTGTGGCGTGCGCGGGACCGATGAGAAGACTTCAGGCAGACAGTAGAGATTGGGCGTCGAGTCGAGCCTTGCTGTCGGCAGTGATGATCTGGTAGGGCTGGGGTATCTGCAGAGTGCAGATTGGATTCGCAAGAGGCTTGCGAATGGCTGCGGGTTGACGTTGACGTTGACAAGAAAAAGTGCGGGAGGAGTTTGGGAACCAAGCGGTCGGGGGTGGAGACGGCAACGACGGCTTGGCTACCTACGTCGACTTGGGCTGAGACAAGTGGATGGAGATGGAGGGATGGGGGGATGAAGAAGGCTGAAGAGGAGGGCAAGACGGATGCAACATGGGGTTGCGGGCAGGGCGTTATGCGAGGAGGAGGATGACGCCTCGTTGGAGAAGAAGAGGGAAGAGGTTGAGAGGCAGTAACTAGACATGGAGAATGAGAGACGGGAGAGGATATGTACAAGGGACCAGGTACAAAAGGCCCGGAGCATGGCAACAAGGGCATGGTTGGGGGATGTGCCATGAACAAGTGGGTTTGACTGGGGTATTTTTGATGTTGATATGGAGACTCATAATACTGATAATAGCGATAGTGATGGGGGTCTGGATTTGTCTGGATTGAGCCATGGGAGGGATGATGAATGGCGCGAACAGGTACGTTTGTAAGCAAAAGTACGGACACAAGGAGCTAACCCGAGGGGGGCGGCCGACGATATCGCGGCAGGCAGTTGAGTGTGTCGGCCAACAAGAGATGTTAGCTTATTAGTACTAACCTATTATATTAGCAGGCACGGTGCTGGAACTTCGACTGTTATGCCATTGTGGTTATGTGGGATGATGATGATGTATTGTGGAGGTTGTGTGGGCTCTAGAGGGGTCTCATGTACCCTACATCGACTGGATTCAAGCTTGTGTGGACGCTGGAATAAATGCCAAAAACGCGCGTGGCTGTGCGGCCAGCCACTGGCCCGCCCAATGTCAGCCTTTTTCCTGGTACCTCGTTCATGTTTCATTTTGGTGCTTATCGGCTTACACAGGTACCTACCTCCGCGCGCTATCGTCAGTTTCTTGGGTGGTTTAGCAAGCCAGCGGGGCAAAGGCGTTGCTGTTGCCGTTGTACTGGCTGAACGCCTGAAGGCTGGCTTGAATAGTGCTGGCGTCGGCGTTTTTTGCGTGGCTACACATCAAACGAGGTTGGGGAGGATACCTTATCCAAGTGTAGGGTACACTATATTAGTACATAATAGACTAATAAGGGATTAGTAAGTATTTATACCTAAATACACTTTTTTCTACCTAAAAGTAATATTTTCTTTCTTTCTATTATTAAAATATAATAATAATTTAATAAAATAATATATTTAACCTTATTAATTAATATTTATAATATATTACTAATAGATTCTTTTATTTTTTTTATTAATAATATAATTCCTTTTTAATAAAAAAATATTATATTAGTATTATCTTTTTAGGTAAGATATATATAATATATTATATATATTATATTAACTTTTTATTTTAATAGGATAATATTATTAGTTCTTTTAAAAAGGATAGTAATTCTATCTTTACTATTATT